GAGGGCTTCGCGAACAGCACGGCTTGCGGCGCCTGTGAAGTGTCCTCCTGATGGGTTCTCAACCTCGGTGGCATCGACGTTAATTGTGATGTGGCAGCCCTGTACAGGTGAACCGCGGCGCGGACCACGTGCGAGTGCGGCGACTACTCCGTTGATTAGCTGTTGACGGGCTTCTTCAGGGTCAAAGCTGGGGAAATAGCCCTCTTCGGGTAAGTCGATGATGACATGGATCATATTGCCATCGCGCTCGACAGTTGGTTCAAGGGCGGCCTGCCGGTGGTGCTCCTCAAGCGGCTCAAGGGTCGCGCTGCATGACACCCTGCCAGACTTGCTCGCGACCACTCTGTCATATGTGACGTGGTGAGGTCCGATCGGGGCAGTGATGCACTCCTTGTAGTCGACCTCAATGGGGCCGAAATCGGCTTGGACCTTGGGGTTTTGCTTAAGGTTGTGGACCGCGATATCAAGGTGGAGCTTGCCCATGCCCTGGAGGATGAACTGCTCAGTCTTCTCGTCGCGCGTCCATCTGAGACTGGGGTCTTCTCGGGATGCGTTGTCTAGGGCAATCTCAAGCTCCTTGGCGGCAGTCATGCCTTGAGGATCGATGGCAAGGAAGGCAACCGCTGGGGGGATCTCGGGCGGTCTTATGTGAACATGCTTCAGACTATCTGGAACTTGCTTGTTGCCGACAGATGCGAGAAGAGTGTCGCCCGTGCGAGCCTTCTTCAGCCCCTTGATGGCACCAATTTGGCCCGTTGCCAGATGCTGCACGTCTTCGGTCTTCTCCGCAGATATTTGTACCAGACCGAAAGGCTTCTCCGACTGCTGGATGTGGGTGTTCCAGGTAGACGAGTTCCGGTGAAGATCGCCGTGGTAAACGCGGACGAAGCTCAGAGTTCCTTCCTTGGGATGGTGGAAGACCTTGAAGACAGACGCTACAGCAGCAACCTGGCCGTGGCTGGCCTTCTTGTTATGCTTGTTAGTGTTATCAAGAAGCTTCTGGAGCTCTTGTTTGTTGGCCCCCACGCGAACCTCGAGCTCTGGACGTTCGTCTGGACTAGGCAGGTAGTCGACGATGGCGTCCATCAGAGGCTCGACGCCAATGTGTCGGAAACTGGCACCCGCCAGGACGGGGATGGCGTTTCCGTCGCCGCTGCGAATGACGTTGCGGACAGCCTCTTTGAGCATTTCACTGGTGATCTTGGTGGGATCGTCAACGAAGAGATCCATAATGGCCTCGTCCCACTCGGCGACTCCTTCGATCAGTTTTTCGCGAGCCGTCTCGATCTCCGCAAGAAGAGGGTTGCCCGAAAGCACCTCCTGAAGCTCGGCGAATTCGTACTTTGTCTTTTGCTTTTCGGCCTTCCACCTGTATCCGACGCGGTTGATGATATCGACAACGCCGACGAATTGGTCGCCCTCCCACCATGGTATCTGACATACTAGTGGCCATCCGCCGAGACGAGAACCAATCTCAAGCACCGACTTGCGGAATGATGCGCCGTCTCGGTCCAGTTTGTTGACGAAGACGATCCGCGGGATCTTGTGCTCATGCGCAGAAGCCCACACTCTCTCTGTGTGGGCCTCCACACCCTTCACAGAGTCAATGATGCACACTGCACCATCAAGAACAGGAAGACACCTGTCGACTTCGAATCGGAAGTCCTGATGACCGGGGGTATCGATGAGGTTGATAGTCTTGGGAGGCTTTCCAGGCTGGCAGTCTTCTGGTAGAGGCCAGTTGAAAGTGATGGCTGCTGACTGAATCGTGATGCCCCTTTCTCTTTCCAAGTCAAGAAAGTCCGTTACGGTGTTTCCGGCATCGACATCTGGATCCTCTCATCAGCTCATGATCCTGCAGACTCTCACTGCCCATCCGCAACTCTCATCCACCAGAACGACCCCTCACAAAAGTTCTTACCTCCAACTCGACGAGTCACGCCGCTATAGTATAACATGCGCTCAGTAGTGGTCGTTTTACCCTTCAGGTCATCAGCAATCTCATCCTGCAAGCTGTGAATGGCGCACTCACAGCGTCAACATGAGCAATGATGCCAATGTTCCTAATATCCTTAATCGCAGAGTGATGCTTCGTCTGCACGGGAGGCATGTGTATCGACCTCCGGAAACTCAAGACACCGACATACAGAGCTCGCCCCGGCAGCCGGCCGAGGTGGCTCTGCCTAGGCACTGAAGCTCGGAGGGTTAACATGACGGGAACATCAAACAAAATTTGTTGTACAAATATTGGGAAAAAGAAAGTTCCAGTTGATTGCGCTCACATCGTAGTAAGCGAAAGAGCCAATGAGACCACCAATCCGTTGTCGAAAAGTCCTCAATATCAGACCATCAATCAAGTGGGAGCTGTTGAAGTGAAGCTCTCACCTTGCTTCGGCTGAGGTAATGAGCTTGCCTCTACACCAATTGACGTCGCGATTGTCGCTGAACCCCTGCTGGCCCCCAACTCAGGCAGGCGGTCGCAGAGATTTCAAGTGTCAGTGTCAAAAAACCCTGTGAGAGGCTGGTGGGTTAGCTTGGGTGTGGCTGGTGACATGCGCCTCCTGTTGGCACTGCTACGTGTTCGGGTTGTTTGGTGCAGCAGCACGGCAGCAGCTAACAAAGTACCGGGTACCTACCCCCGTCGCAGTATCCACAGCTGCACTCCTTGTATCTAATCTGCCAGGTTTGCCAGCTTCAGGAGCAAAGCACAACACACACTGGACACAAGTGCTGCACCTTGACTCGTCAGCCTCTTCTCCGGACGTCACACCTTTCGCACCCACCTTGCACATTTCCCACTCACACATCCCCATCCCCAGAGACCCGCGATATCCAGTTGCCTGGCGTCTCCGTCTCCATCCACGTCAGCTTCTTCTTCCCCTTCTTCTTCCTTTACAAATCCTTCTTCCGCCCATCAACTTTCCCGAAACCACCACCACCAAGCTAAATCGCCAACATGGAGCTCTCCGACGCCTTGTACGTGCCCCCCGGACACCCCATCGCATTGCAATGGACTAACATATCGCCCCCAACAGCCGCATCGTCAACCTTGTCACCGCGACCGTTATGGTCCTGGGTGGTATCGCCCAATTCTTCGACTTCTCCTTGTACGTGTCCTCGCCCTCAGCCGATCCCGTCGGACATCTCCTGTGCTTGCGCATCGCTGCCGCGAAGCTATCTCGCAGCGCGCGCGCACGGCTCCGCGCATCAAAAAATTCTGTGGACAAGGGGACGCAGTCCATGTTTGTACGACCCGACTAACAACCGCCTGTAGCCAGGGAATCATTGTTGGCGCCTACGTCATTATCTTCGGTCTCTGTAAGTTTGCGCCCTGCCGAGAAACCACAGTCGGATCGGGAACCAAAGCTAACCTCTTGGACACAGGCACCGCTCTTCTTGGTACTTGACCTTGTCTCCAGCTCCCAGAAGCCCGTCTAACCCAATTGCAGAGTTCCAGATTCCTCCCCAGGTGTCCCGCTACGCCTCCTTCCTCTTCTCCTTCATCGGCCGTGGAATCTGTAAGTTCAAGCCTGGCAGCCCTCCCCGATTTGGAGAACCTGCGATCCTGACGCTCGCTTCTAGTCTACATCTTCATCGGCTCCATCCTCATCAACAACGGCATCTTCAAGATCCTCGCCGGCTCCATCATCGGCATTATCGGCGTCGCCTACGCCGCCCTCGAGTTCGTCCCCCAGATCGAGCCGCCAGCCAACATGCGCGAGGCCGACGGCGGCTGGGGAGCAGAGCAGGTGTAAGCTAGCCGCCCCCCTTTACAACATACCAAAAAGCCCATCTCGGATGCGTTTCCCTCCCAAAGCTTCTTTGGGGCGGGAGGCACGGGTCAGAGATGGCTACGATGTGAACCGGATTTGCTGAGGATTTTTCGAATTGTCAAGATACTGAGAAGAGAGGGGAACGCGACCTTCGGCCTTGCGACAAAGCATGGGGAACAGAACCGAACCGAGAAGAGAGGCAGAGGGCAGATCCGACGAAGAAGGGAAACCACTGTAAAACCCAACAGAAAACCCCCTCTGGATGTCTGGCCCGCCGGGTCCGCTGTACATTGCGTGTATTCGGAAACTTGTAAAGCGCTACTGGTATGAGTTTGCGCATAGTGTGGGACTTGCGTCAGTGGTTGGGAAGATGTTGCGTCTGCTTTGCGGTGGGCGCAATTGTATGAATTTCACTTATTTCTTAGATGGTGTAAGGAGAACAAAGGAGGCCGGTAAAAGCAGGGTATTGTTTGGGATCCGTAGTGGCTAGTCTAACAGACCTGATTTTTTTGCCCTCGAAAACACAGAACCAACCTTGGATGTCCCAGACCCCTTTTTCTTGAACAACTCGACGTGCAAACTTGCTCGCTTTTTTTTACTTTTTGCGGCGGAAAACAGCAACGTACGCGGCATCTTGTCCAATAACAATTGCCATGCTTGAATTTTTCTCCATCGAGGCCGTCTGTCCCACTACCCTGGCCTAGTAGAGCCCATTACCAGTCGATGGTCCGATATCTAAACCATGGAAAAGCAGAAGAGACTATTCAAACTCCCCCCTTTTCTCTTGACAGAAGCATTTGCCCTTCATAGCTCGTCCAAATACAAAAGGACAAAAAACAAGGGATTTTTTGGTCGTCGTAATACGAAGAAACGCCGCCGCGTCGTGAGCCACGCCGGGACAGATAAGATGCAGTTTTGTTTTGAGCGCCAAGATGCGCAACATCACCCTCTCCCCTTTCCTGTAAAGGCCAGACCTGTCCGTTTTTGTTTTTCTCTCTCGTTTCGCCGGTGGTAAAAAAGGAGTAAGAAGAAGAAGAATGGAAGAAGCAAAGCAAAGCAAAATGACTCCGTTTGGACTTTCGCGCAAAAACCACAAGATTACCGCCCACCATCTCCCTGTTTCAAAAATTCACACAAGCAACTCCAAAGCCATGATGTGCGCGCACATGATAACCCCGTGCCGATATCCCGATCCCGTTTTTCGTGTGTATCGTTTGGAAGATTCGTTCAGTCGTTCAGTTCCGCAAGTTCCCGCTCCTTCGCAGCGAGCATCTCCCTCATCCGTTCCGCCTCCCTAGTCAGAGCGGCCCTCTTCTCGGCCCTTGCCCTCTCACTCTCTTGGTTGCCATAGCCCGGATGGCTTGTCTGGCTGCTGGGCCCCGGCGAGGGCAGGGGCGTCAGGCGAGTGTTGGAGTAGGACCCTGGACTCGGCGCCGAGCCGGCGGGAGACATTGCAGATCGGGCGTAGTGCTCAGCGGCGTCCTCGCCTCCGGAGTGGTAGGTAGGGCTCTCGTCCCCGTCGGTGGGGTTCAGGATCGACTTGATGGACGACAGCCGCTTCGAGGTGTCGGGGCCACCATCACCCGCCGGGTTTCCTTCAGCAGACAAGGACCGTTTGCGCGATGGAGGGAGAAACGACGCAGGCGACAGAGACGATTGACGTTCGCCAATTGCGGTCAGCGATGTGATCGGCGCAAGTCGGTTGTCGTCGTTCAGCGATCCAGGGTAGGGATGCGACGTCCGCGGCATCGATGATTGATAGGCTGCCAGGTCGGTCGCCGATGGCAGAGGGGACCCTTGCCTGTTGGGGCGCATCTGAGGATCTGGTAGCATAGCCAGGGGGCCCTCCTGGCGATGCCGAAAACCCAGATTGATAGACCCGTCCTCGTTCATCGTGCCTCTTTCCGGGCTGCCCTCAGGCGCCATGCTCTGCGTTTCTGATCCGTCGAGCATCTCTTCAGTCCACTCGCCGCCAAACGAAGAGGGAATCACTCGTTTCCTTCGCTTGATTGTCGACTTTTTCATGGTGACGGGCCGGTGGACTCCATGAAGTTTGTAGTAGAGACCTAATTATGTCAGCACATCGAGATCGAGATCTTCCCCAGATTTCGACGGCACATACCGCAAGCATTGCAAATCGTGTGCCCACTTTCATCACGTCGCCACAGGGGCGTGACGGTCGTGCTGCAATTTTGACAGGCGATAACGACGGTCGTGTTTGGATTTTGTCCCTGTATTTGCAGAGCAGCAATGTCAACGGGAGCCGCGGGGTCGTCAACTGCCATGGGCTCAAGCTGCTGCTGCTGCTGACTCGAGGAGCTGCCACCGCCGCCGCCGCCACAACCTTGCCCCTGAACAACATTCAAGTGAGCAGATTTCGACACGCGGTTGTTGTAGGCAGGACACCCGCTGCAACCCTCTGCGCCGCCAGTACCATTGCACTTTCCACCGCCTGGGCAGGTCCCTGAAGGGGCCTGCTCCTCGGTGACATACGTTGGAGCGGGAGCGCTGAGATATTTCGGTCCAGGGCCAGGCGCAGGGGCGATTTTTGGCGGAGCGGTCCTTGGTGTAGCAGCAACAAGATGCGGCGGTTTCTTCAGGTTAGTTGGCCGCGAAGCGTTTCTCGCCTTTTGGTACAGGCCACAAGCGTTGCAAATCGTCGTTCCCTGAGGCGATCTCCTCCACAGCGGTGTCCTCGTTGTACCGCAGTTGCTGCGGCTGGTTAGTCTCGTTGCAGAAAAGGGGGTGGTCTGGCTGTCGTCTCCTTACCTGCAGACCTGGCCGGTTTGCCCGGATGCAGAACTCGCTGTCGTCGGTGCCGGGCTGGGTCTGGCTTCCGTCCTTCTCGCCTGGGGAGAACTGTCGCTAGATACTGAGGCTGGACTCCTGGCGACCGACATTGAAGTGGCTTCGCTCGACGGACTGCGTCGCATTTCCGGGCGCAGGGTCGTCGAGTCGATGTTGTCGGCACTGGGGCCGGGGCTGGGGATTCTCGCGTGCTCTACCGCGCCATGCTGCCCTCCGTCTCGGGCTTTCGGGGACATGCGCCGTGATGGAAGGGCGGTTCGCATGGTCGAGGGGGGCTGTTTGGCCGAACCCTGAGCCGCCGACGAGATGCCATCGGCCATCGCCATTCGAAGAAGCGCGGCTCGGTCGTGGGTGCGAGGTGGATGTCTGCGGCAGGCGTCTGTGTTGTATCAAACCGCAAGACCAGTAGATCCGAGAGGCTCGTATTCAGGGGTTTGCTGTTAGAAGCCTTCACCGAGGTATCGATCACGGGGGATTTGATGACTTCGTAAGCAGTAGAGGCTCAGACCGGAGGAAGGCGACAGGCTGGCTCGGAGGTAAGAGGATACTTCAACGGGCAAAGCGGTCGACGGAGGTAGAGGAAGAGGGAAAGAAGTCAAAAGCAGGTCAAACTTAGACAACCCTACCACGGTTGCAAAGGTGGTTCGACAGTCGGCAGGCCGGAGGATGGTTCAGGGGAGGGATTGCCCCGTCCACAGTCGACGACAAGAGGTCAGGAGGGATATGGAGAACCGGATGACGGAGCAAGAAGGCGGAATCGGCGGCCGGGGGACTGAGAAGAGACAGAGGGTCGCCACCGTGAATCCAAGGGACGAAGGGGTTCGCCGTGTTCGGGTTGCCTGTACGAACACAGTGTGGTGTGAGAGATGGAGGGGCCGAGAGCCCGGGGGGCTTGAGAAGCCGAGTTACGCTGAATAGGGGTTGGGTTGGGGAAGGAGGAGGAGAGGGTTGTGAGAAGATGACGAGCGCCTAGGAGGGATAGAGCGGTGATTTCGAGTGCATGCTGGTGAGGAGGAGACAACAAGTGTTGCTGGTGATGATGACGGACATGTAAGAGCCCCTCGTGGGAGACGACTCTGACAGTGGGCAGTCAGTGGCTATCCAGGGCACCCGTACACGCTGCACCGTACCCGTACCCGGCTGGCGGTGCGCTGGGAGGCGCTTGCGAGGGTTCACCGGGCGGTGAGAGGGCTGGCTCGGTGGGTGCGAGACTCTGAGGAGGACCTGGAGGCTGTAGCCTGCTAGGCGGTAGCGAGTCTGTAGCGAACCTGACAAGTGACGGACGCTGAGCTAGTGGCGGGAAGCGTGGTAGCGATGTGCGTGGTGGCCGTGGTGTACCTCGACACACACACACAACGAGGCGACAAGGGCGAACAGGGCGATGGTGATGGGCGGACGAGAACGTGCAACTGTACGCGGCGCTGGCAGAAATCACGAGAACAGACAGCCCACGCTGGGTTCCCAATGACGAGTGACGGACGAGAATGGGGGAAAATCGGAGCCCGTCGTTGGGTGATCTGGGCTGAGAGGTCACGGATTACAACATGTGGCTGCTGATTGGCCGCCCGTGGCATGTCGCTAGACACTCAAGACATGGGTGCGTGGTCCACCGAGTTTAGCAATATCCACCCGACTCGAGTCCACCTTGCTGCGTCCAGTCCAGCATCGCATCGCGGCATTGATGACACGGAGGGTCGAACTAATGCTGTTTGGGGAATATTTCAAGCATGTTTGTTTTTTTCGCCTTGTTCTTTTTCGATTTGTTTTGTCGCTGTCCTGCCTCCCCAAACTAACTTTGCGTTCACGACCTTGTCGTCTTTGCGCAGTCAATATTCCTTCATCTGTCCTCATCATCATGCCCCCTTTTCTTTCCCCTTACACAACCATCAATAATCACATCTAGCCGAGCAATGGCGAGATAACGACAGCCGGGGAGCAAATGACACGACCTATCTACCCTAAATTTCCAGCCTAAACCCGAACAATACGCCGTAATTAGCCTTTCCCGGTTGGCCTGGGCCGGCTCCCCTGGACACCCTGGACTACTCCATCCGCCAGCACGCTCTGATTTGCTTGTCTCGAGAATGGATCAATCGGCACGTCTGGCGAGCAACGCTGTCTCCATGTTGTTCTGCGCCAGACCCTTGGGCCCCGGAGGAAAGAATTTGAACTCTAATGCTCTCTCAGTAAAGCCGAATGTCACGCCAACTGACTTGTGCCCTAGGACTTCACCGACACGCCATGACTTGCACCTCCAGCAAACAGATTGATCTACAGTCAGGTATCCTTGGGCACCGTCCCGTCCCACCCGTCCCCCCGTCTGAGAAGACAACATCACATCAGATTAGACAACCCGATCATCTCTCACATCAGCGCGGCACACTCCCGTCGGCCAAGCGAGATACGGCAGAAAAAAGAGAGAGAGAAGGGCAATGGTCCCCTCCTCATCAAGCCCAGGTCTAGGTCACAAATCAAATCCACCCTCGCGCAGCGCTATGCCCGCCAGTTCGGTCTCCGGTCCCCTCCCCTCCAGCGCTCTGGAATCGACCAAGGTACAGGGCCCCAGAAGGTACCATACTCTGTCATAGTAAGCCCTCCCAGGATGCAATGCAACACACCTCGCTGGGCCAGCTCGCTCTCCGAGCCCGACAAAGGCGGCGCCGCGGCAGCAGCAGCAGCAGCAGGATGATGTGTTACTGCGCGTGCTACTACACACATGTCAAGTCTTGAAATAGCAGGATTTGACTTACACCGCCGCCAGCCACCCCTAGCGCAGGGAACAGGACACAAGAATCGAGAATGGCAGCCCTCCATTGTGAAAATTCGATTCCTTCCCCGGCCGAATCAGAGCAGGATGGCTCGGCTCTTGACCTATCATCCCTCCACGCAGCACACCACCAGACGCTTCCTTGACATTCCCTTCCCTCACTGTGAGAAAAGGCCCCCAAAGTACCTGCAGCTCGTAGTGGACCGGAATCCGGCTCCGAGAACCTGGCCTGCAGGACGGGCAAGGCGATGGCCCAGTGACAGGCGACCTGAATAAGCTGACAGGGCAACGGGGCATTTTGCGGTATGGGGAATCGTGGCGGTGACGAATAAGGCAGTCGGTGTCCTGCACCCCTTCAACGCCATTACGAAAAAACAGGATACGTAATCCCGAGGTCGTACAGCGCCATCCTCGGTGTTAAGAGGCGAATTGATTAGAGTCGTCGACTTTTCTGCCTTGCTTCGTCACATTGTGTGTTTTCTCTTGCTTCGGCGGCCGACCTCCGATCTGCATGACTCCGAGCCAAGAGCCGAGCACCCTCATGGAGCCAGGATCGGTCGCGGGACGACTTGGACCCCGTCAGGGCCGGATCCGACGAATTCGTCTCAAGGCTCGGCGCTTCAGGTCGGTGATAGGAGCCGTGAAGTCAGGATCAAGACACTTGTCGATAATGCGCACATGTCCCAAGTGAGGGGTCGTCAAGGCTTGTAACGATGCCCCATATTGACGAGCCAATCGCCTAGTTTTGGAATGTCATCCCTGCCCAGTGAAAGTCATGCCATCTGCTCAGCTGAGCGCACAGTACGGATGATCTTTAGAGAAATAAGGATGCAGCTAATCTTATGATGCCTTGTTGGGGAACATAGTTGCCAAGGATTCTACTCTGGAAATGGGTATCTGCAGCGTTCGCCAAAACAGAAATGGGTATACGCATTCCAAAGGACTGCTTGCCGCCGTAAACAAAGAGAAAAGAAAGATCAAACGACGCTTGCTGCCGTGCCGGGGCCTCATATCATTCATACCGTCATATCAAGCGTCAGGGTCGCTCGACTCGTCCAAAACCGAAGTCTCAAAGTTCTTCCTCATTTCCACGATGGTGTCCCTGGCCAGACAGACAACGATGGCAATGGTGATCGCGTTCCACACGTCCTGGCCACGTTTGCTGAAGCCGACTTCCACCTGGTAACTCCCAGCAGCGTCCTGTTCCTTTGCCGAGTCAATAGTGAGCACCATGACCGATGTGTTGACAACGAACAGTCCGTAAATGACAGGTGGGCGCCGCGTATACTCGCCGGCCCAGAGTTCGTCCGGCTGCTCGGCGCTCTCGGAGTTTTCGCTCGGGCTGCTATGCTCGCTGATGCCATCGCCGTTGATCCCGTTTCGATGCGGGGTCGACGGAGGCGAGTCGGCCTTTTGCGGTGACGGCGTCGGGTACTTGTCCGGCACAAGAACAATCCTGTTGTCCTCGGGCTCAGCCTCCTCGGGGTCGACTTCTGACGCGTACCCATTCTCTTCCTTCTCCTCATGACCGCTTTCAGGTGCCCGTTCAGCTCTCCAGTGAGCGCGTTGACTTGCGGCGGCGATTCTTAGCCGGTTCTGCATGTGCTCCTCAATTGCCTGCGGCGTCTGAGACGTGTCGACGGCGTCGATAATGATGTTCGGCACGTAATCAAGTGTGTCGTACTCTCCGTCGTGCTCAGCCCACTTGGCGTACTCCTGGAGTCTCTTCGTGATCAGCGCGCTCGCTCTGTGCCTTCGGCCTGTCTGAGCCAAGCCTCGAACCTCTCTCGTCAGGTCAATGAGGCGAGCCAAAGCTTTCGTCGCTGGAGCCGAGTTAGCACTCAATACCATCAAGTTGAAGCATCAAACCCCACCTTTGAAATCGTTGCCGGACCGCGTGTTGATGATGGGTGGGTGTGCAACGGAGCTGGCAAATAGAATATCGGGAATTGGGATGCCTCTGAAGCTCATCTGCCAGTCACCTGGCAGCAGAGGGCTGTATTGTCTCATGAACAGTATTTTGAACAGTTTGAATTCGTCATCGGCCCAACTGTCGCTTCTAGGAAAGAGCTTCACTTCCTCCATCATCTCTTTCAGTTGCCGCTGTTCCTCCCCCTTCTCCTTCTCACTGAGAACATCTTCCTTGCGCAAAGGTGTTCTGTGAGTCGACTTTTTGACACGGCCTGACAAGACCCTGTCCGAACCAGGAGTACCCCCTCTGCCGATGCTTGCGCTTGTTGCCGGAGTCTCCGTGAGAGGCGTCGCGCCGAGAAAGCTGTGATCCAGAAGGCGGGAGTGCTGGGGGGTTTGAAATGGCGAAATACTCCGTACGGAGCCTGATGAAGGCCGATCCATTGGAAAGTATGAGGTTTTGTGAGATGATTCTGGAGGATAATAAGGATGAGCGGCGTGTAGGGATTTGAAGTCTGGTGGTTGTGTTTGGCAGGTGGCTGGTGCTGGGGAAATCACGTCTTTTGATATCTCACGATCGTGCCTGCCGAGAGAAGCCGTAGAGATGCATTTCTTTGTCGAGCCGACACTTGTCGCTTCTTCATCTGTGGCAATTTTTATCTCAACCATCTGCGGCAAAACCGCGCAGCAAGGCAGGAGGCCAGGGAGATGGCGGGGCTCTGTTGTCCCTTGAACAGAAAGTTGCAAAGCAGAAAGGCGCAAAGGGCCTGTGGCGCGACGAAAACGGCGCGAGACAAAAGCCGTTGGAATTTATTTCCCTTTCAATTGACGTCGACGCGGTGAGACCAAAAAAATAGCCCAGGTTCCAAGATTTAAGGTAAGGTACGGCGGCTGGCGGCTGGCGCCATGCTGCCACGCTGCTAGAATGGATACCTGGCCCGTGCTCAACTGGCTTCACCGTCTGATCTTTGCTTAGTCATGTTGATGCGAACAGAAGACGCAGGAGCCATCGGGTATCCCTTGTCACTTCTTTCCTCATGTTCAAAATTATCAGAGCAAGGTGTAAAAAAAAAATTCGTAGCTCTAGCTCTAGAAAACAAAGCAAATGTTCAAATTGCGCTCAAGCATAGGGCGGCGCGCAAAATGCCAGACTTGAGACGAAGTCAACGCTTTGAACCACGTGATTGATCTCCCGGCAGATGACGGCGCGAAAAGTTGTGGGGCCGCGCGCAGAGATGACATCCTTCCCAGACGGGATCGATCACTGTGAGGGTGGGAGGCAACCCCTGCACTAGAGCGACTTTGTCTACCTTAGCGTACCAAGTACCAGTAGCTCAGTGGAGAGGCTCTGATTTGCATGACGGGGCAATTTTTCAGGTCGCGACGACGCGCTCAACTTGGAAGCGACCCAACGACGACTTGCCTTCCCGGTTGTCCACCTTCTGCTCAGCATCGCCAACCTGACACATCGCAACACGCGCAAACAACATCGGCAACGCGCAAATATCGCTCTGATCACGCGCCCAATATCACTTTTTCAATTTTATCTAGCATTCGAGCTATGCGACAGTCGTTGCGACGCAGCAATTATTCACGATGAAGGACTGGAGCAAGCAAACCGTCGTCCAACTCAAGGCTGAGTTGAAGCGGCGAGGGCTTGCCATAGCCGGCCTTAAGCAGGACCTCGTCTCGCGACTCACCGAAGACGATGCCAGCAATGCAGCCGCCGAGAACGAGGCGGAGGCCTCCGAACCCGAGCCCACTGAGACTTCCGAACCTCAGGCTATAGAAGCTGAGGAGCCGTCTGCGGACTCTGCTTCTGTCGACGAAGCCCCCAAGGAATCGGCGCATGCCGAACCTGATGCTGCGCCTGCCGAACCCGAAACCGCGCCCGCGCCCGAGTCTGCCTCCCCAATTTCAAAGACCAACAGCGACGCCCCGGCGGTAGCCACCGAGAGTGACGATAAACAAGATGCCCCGGCTGCACTTCAAGAAGGCGTGCCTTCGGCCGAAATAACCCCTCCTGCGCCTGCCGAGATAGCTCAGGATGCTCAAAAGCGAAAGCGCCGTTCAGAGAGCCCTGCCGAGCCCCTGGAGGACGCCTCCCGCAAACGCCTCAAGGCGCAAGAGGACGACGAAGTGCAATCTTCAGAGCCTTCTGGCGTGACTGGGGTCATCAGCAACATCAAGGACGCGTTGGTGGAGAACACCAGTCTTGCCGAAGATATCGCCAATGATGCAAAGGCCGTTTCCGAGAATGTACCCCAGCCTGAAGACGAGCCCATGGAACAGGACGAACCCGAGACTAAGGGAGATGTTGAAGACGTCGCAATGACAACAAACGATGAGGCGCAGAATGAACCCGCGACTACGGCTGCCGATGATTCTGTCCCGGCTCCCGAATCAGCAGACATCGCAAACCAACCCAAGGACGCGAATGATACACAGTCCCCTATCGGGCAGGGAGCAGGCAATGCTATGGAGTATGAGCGCGACGTGCAGCCATCCGTCCACCCTGCAACCAGAGCTCTTTACATCAAGAACTTCATGAGGCCTCTTCGCGAGAACGTGGTTCAGGCTCATCTGCTTGAGCTTGCGACTCCGGCCGGCACCGATCCCAACGAAGGCGATATCGAGGAGTTCTTCGTCGACCAGATTAGGACTCACGCTTTTGCGGTCTTCAAAACCACATCTCAGGCTTCTCGCGTCCGCAACGCCTTACATGACGTCATCTGGCCCGATGAGCGTGAGCGCAAGCCACTTTGGGTGGACTTTGTTCCTCCCGAGAAGGTTCGTGAGTGGATTGACGAGGAAGAGACTCAGGGACAGAGCCGGAGAGGAGCTCGCTGGGAGGTCATTTTCGATCGTGAGGACGATGGGTTCGTTGTTGCCCGCCTGGATTCGGGCACCGCGCCTCCGCCCGCGCTAGCCGCCCCCGAACTTACCAGACCTATCCCTTCGGGGCCCGCTGTTAAGGACGTGAACGCGATTCCTTTGGGACCCCGGGCCAGAGGCACAGAGGGAGCGCCCCTTGGACCCAGAGGAGACCGGGACCCGCCCCGCGGCCCTGGAGGCAGAGGCTCTCGTCAGATCCAAAACTTCCCAGGAGGCCCTGTCCAAACGACGCGCAAGAACCCCCCGATCACATTCCAGCCCGTCTCCGACGATCTGGCCAGCAGACGAATCCGCAACATGCGTTCATTCTACACCCAAGACCTTAAGCGCGACATGGGCCCCGAGACCGAGATCAACCGCTACACTTTCGAGCAAGGCGATAGTTTCGTCGACCGCGGCCAAGAAGTCTTTGTCGGCATTCGCCCACCGCACAGAGAGAGAGATGCGCAACGCAGACGGGGCTTCGACAGCGGACCCCACCGCGGATCAGGCCCTCGCCGCAATCGAAGAAACGGCGGCGGCGGCGGCGGCGGCGGTGGCAATGGTCGTCGCAACCCTCGTCCCCTAAGCGATAGGTACCTCCCGGGTATCAATGAGGGCGGCCCTTACAGGCAAGGCGACCGTGGAACCTTCGGCTCGCGCAGCGACGATCGTGAGAGACGATACTAAAACAATCGTCTCATGGGCGACAGATATATCCCAGGTATCAATGACGGTGGCTTTTACAGGAAAGGCAACCGTGGATACAGTCGTCCCAGACGACACTAAGGGTAGCCCTCAAAGTGGTTTGGTCCTTGTCGGCGCTCATCGACTCAGGTCCCCTAAGGTCTCCGGAGTAGCTCAGCGGGCTGCGAACCTCGAGACGCACTGAGTATTCTTAGCAGCGCAACAATATCAAAGAGATGGGCGAAGGGTTTTGGATCAGGACTTGGCGCGCAAGTCGAATCCTATCCAGCATGTATATGAAGTGTAGGAAAACTTGGGGACAAAAAGATGCAAAACGTCAGCGACGCATGCGGCAGGATACAAACACGACATCGCCAAGCATCGCTTTCGAAGCACGGGGCAAGGGTGGGACGGGGAAAACTGGAAATGAGGTGGGCAGGATGGCTATTTGAATTTCTCTCTAATGCCCAGCGTCGGGTGCCTCCATGGCATGCGCGAAGCTGTAGATTGCTTTTCCCAACAAGACCCCTTTTTTGACACCATAGAGAGAGACGCTGCGATACCACTGCCCGCCTTACCCGCGGGCTTCACCATACAGGAGGATTTTGATTTCATTCTCCCAAAAGTAGAACATTCAAGAAGACATTAAACTGAACCTTTGAAACTTTCTGTGATGTCATGCTGGGCGTAATCTCCTTCTCTGCCGAGGAAGGGGGGGCGCCGCAGACAGAGCCGAATAGTGGATGGATGAGACGCTAATCGAACATCTTCAACGAGCTCGCATATCGCTTTCAAATTCAACTCATATATGGCTTGGCAAGCGTCTATCGGCTAGCCAGAGAGGGGCCTGCCTCAAGATTTGTCCTCCATTGGCGTGTTAGCCTAGGTAGCAGGCTGATGATTTGAGTGCGATCCAGGGAGAATTCAGCTTGCAGGTCTGTGGGTACGTGTTTCCCTGTACTCGTCCATAAATTTTCATCGGGTTGTGAATTCGCGGCAGTCTCTTGGGCTGTCCTTTTTCGTCAGATGTCTAAAAGAGGGAATCGGATTTTATATCGATGATAGTCAACACAAGCGGCCTTGTAGGGAATAATCGTCACAGTGCACTCGTAGCATATTCACTGGACGGAACGACGTTGTTATTTCCAAATGAAGTGCCTTTTTTGCATCAATTTAGGAATAATAGCTACTTTTGGGGCTATGTTATCAACTGTAAATAAAAAAGAGGAACCATCACTAGCTTCCCATGACGAAAACCCATTTATACCTGCTACGACACCGCAAATCCCATGAAAGTCAAGAACGAGCTAATCCACAGCGGAACAAACTTAGGCAGCCGCAGCCAGGGTGGTGGGCTCGACACCCACACGCTCCCTGCTGAGAATGTCCAGCATGAGGGGTGTGGGGCGGTTGTCCTTGTAGATCTTCTCACTCTCCTTGAAGAGCTGGACGTTCTCGAGGTACTTGTCAAAGAGGTAGGAGCTGTCCATCGGGCCGCCCTTGGCCTCGGGGTGGAACTGGGTGGAGAAGATGGGGCGGGTCTTGTGCATCATGCCCTCGTTGCTGCCATCGTTCAGGTTGACAAAGTACTCCTTGAACTCGCTGGGCAGGGTGGAGGCGTCCACGGCGTAACCGTGGTTCTGGCTGGTGATGTGGCACTGACCAGTGGTCAAGTCGAGAGCGGGGATGTTGTGGGCTCGGTTTCCGTACTTGAGCTTGATGGTGCGGGCACCGACGGCCAGAGCAAGAAGCTGGTGGCCGAGGCAGATACCCATGATGGGGACGGGAGAGGTCTCCATCAGGCGGCCCAGGTTGTAGATGGTGTCCTGGCAATGAGTCGGGTCACCAGGTCCGTTGGAGATGAAGACACCGTCAAAGTTGGAGGCGACCTTCTGGATGGGGTAGTTGTAGGGGAAGACGGTGACGGAGGCACCACGGCTGACGAGGCTGCGGAGAATGTTCTCCTTGACACCGCAGTCGATCAGGGCGACGTGGTACTTGGCACCGGGGGACTCGACAACGAAGGGAGCCTTGGTGCTGACGCGCTTGACCAGGTTGATCTGGCCTGGGTCGATGAAGCTCTCGTCCTCGTCGGCGTCGTACTCGTCACCGATGGTGATCCTAGCGAGGGAAGAACCCTGCTCACGGAGGAAGGTGACGATGGCACGGGTGTCGACACCAGAGATGGCGGGGACGCCCTCACGAGCGCACCAGTTACCCAGGCTCTCGACGGCGGTCCAGTGGCTGTACTGCTCAGCGACGTCGGCGACGACGACACCGGCGCACTGGATGTGGGGAGACTCAAAGTACTTGAGGAGCTTGTACTCATCAAGCTGGTTGGAGGGGACGCCGTAGTTGCCGATGAGGGGCTGGGTGAAGACCAGAATCTGGCCGCGGTAGGAGGGGTCGGTCATGGACTCGGGGTATCCCACGAGAGAGGTGGTGAAGACAGCCTCGCCGGAGATGTTGGAGTTTGCTCCGAAGGCTCGGCCCGAGAAGACTGGACCATCCTATTGTGCATGGTTAGCCCACCGCTGATTCACAGTGACGTTTCGGTGGATCGTCGGAGGTTACGTACCCGGATGGTGAAGGTAGCGTCGAGGTTTGCGACGGGGGCAGTGGCGCGGGTCTGGTTGAAGGGCATTTTGCGTCCCTTGCTGCCAGTGGCCTGCTTGGAGAGGAATCGGGTCTGAGCACGGAAACCGGTGCTCAACCCGGCGGCACTCTTGACCGCGGGCTTGGAGAATTGGGTGGCCAATCGAGAGAACATGGTGGTTTATCGGTTGGTAGGTCTGGTACGAGGTAGCTTTTCTGGTTGTGTCAAGAGACCTTTAGGCCCTGGAAGCCTTCCACAAGTGGTCTGTTTGGCCATGGTTAGTCTTTGGTTGACAGAGGGCGGTGAGTCAACCGCGGAGAGGGCATCGAGCGAACCTGAAAGGTAATCCTATTGATAGCGAGTCAGCGACTGGTATTCGGCGGCATTGTGGACAAATTGAAGAATGCAGAAGGTGCAAGTAGACGCCGGTTGAATCAATTAGGCTATGACCACGAGCACGAGACAGAGTTTTGACCGGCGGGGTTGAGTATCACGAAGGCCGTGACCTCAAAACCCCCCGGCCGCAGGAGGGGAAAACGATGAGAGACAAAAAAACGGCTGCATATCATCGGCAGCAGCAGCAACTTACCTGAGAGGTGAAGACTGACGGGCGCCCGTTCATAAGGGCAGCTTTGCAAATGTGCAATCAGAAGAGGGGTATTTTATTTTTCTCTGAACGAGATGTTGGAGGCGGAGGGGTTATGGCCGGAGATATTGTGTGACGGGGATGTTGCAAGATGGTGCAGGATTTTTTTGTTGGTGAGAGAGGAAGGAAAAAAGTGAGAGAGTGAAGGGGAGGTAGATATCGGCTAGAAAAATAAGAGAGGAGCACGAGCACCGGCGCGGAGGAGTCACACACACACACACTGGACAGGGACAGGACACAGCTCCAGTGTCCCCGGGCAAGGTCATGGTCAAGGTCAAGGTCACTCGCAGCGTACATTTGCAGGCGTGCAGCCAGTACACGGTACATTGAGGCTGCTTAAGAAAATAAATGGAAAGCTTGTCATTGGACCCTTTGTGCAAATTTGCTGGCTCTGGTGGGGTTCCAACGCTGTGATACGCCCGCCACGGGGAAGACGGGGAGGCCATGGGGACCGACGCTGCAAGAGTCGCAGTCGCTGCAGGGGAAACTCTCGCCAGACAGCGCGCCCAAGGGCCCCAAGGACGGCAGAAGATGAGGGACATGTCGCCGCCCCGCAGTCAGGGCGCGCACGCCGATGTCGTCGTTATCGCGGGGCTTTGACGTGAGGCAATGTGCTAAGACAATCCGCCCAGAAATCACGCCTTACATAATTCCTCTCTCCCTGGCTGGCCACGCACGTTAAGCTATCTGATACCCAAGGACCTCACGGATAAGGTAAGACACCTTAAGATACCTAGGCCCCTAGGGTGGTATTTCTCCCCCCCAGCTCTTATCAGCCCTGTTTGATTGACCGACATTACATCACCGCCGTGAACGCGAGGGAGCCATTGAGCTGGTATTTGGTGTGTGGGAAAATAACCCAAACCCTAAGATCGACTCTGCTGTATTCGGAAGTGTAATTTGCGTCTTTTGGAGTCCTGAAATTGACGCAACGTCCAGACCGGTGGGCTCGGTGGCCAAACCAAACGGCTGTCTCTGATGAACCGGCCGTATTCGGAGTCGAGTCCCACCATCCAAAACTCCAAAGCAAAACGTCCAACTGTCTGCGACCTTGACAATGCATAGTCCACTAACTGCCGTAACTGCATGTGGCCTAGAACTCTGACCGGCCTAAACGGGGCGGACGGACGGGGACGCCCTCCGCTTCCCGCCTATCGGGCTCTCCCTTGCCAACCAGAAACGAAGCAAACAAGTTGAATCCTTTCACAACCTCTCCTCACCGACTCGAGTCGCGCTGCTGTCCTTGTCTCGAAATAGACACCCGCCAGCGCCAACCTCTCGGAAACCCCGGTTGCGCCCTCCACCGCCCGTCTGTCCTTCTCCTCGCTCAATCTAACAAGCTTCAGCACGCAACCAACTCTATGATGGAGAAATGGTTACCTCTGCCATGTTTGCTTTGTTTCTGGCTTTCGCAGAGTTCAAAGAGACTCTACACAAATGTCACCCTGGCTGCGCTTCTGTGCCATAGAATGGCATCACGTGGGCACTTGTCGTGTCGGGCAGGCCCAGCCGAGACGCTTGGCCGCATGCCAAGATGGCAGACAGCAACAGGACTTGCATCGCTACACGACCTGCGTCAACCTAATACTGACTCAACCAACCATTTCCCAAATGGACATGCGTTGCATGCCCAACAAGATGAGGAGTTGAATGTTTTTATTGTCGAACATTCGAGTCCCACTAATCCTCTTGGGGCTCTGCTTGATCGATAAACGAACTCCTGAGTCTTCTACTGAAGCAGTCATTTACTCTTTCAAGTTCATGTATTGGACCGACAAGTTATTGACATGACCCTTCACAACCAAAGTACTTGAGAAAGGCTCAATCGGAGACGCTGAGCGGGTGGTTCTCGTAGGTCGTTTTGGATTTTTCACATGAGCGCCATCAACTCCTCCAACCTGGAAAAGCCGTAATCTTCAAAGAGTGATAACCTGATCCCCGTTGCGTATGCTACATACAATTCAAGACTGGACGCCTTGCTCTTTCTTCCAGACAAAGTCATTCATCCCATCGTTTCCCACATCTCATAAACGCCAGACCCAAAACAAAACTCCATCACAACATGTACAACCTCACCCTCCTGCCCGTCCCCTCCGCCTCCCCGACTATCTTCCCATTCTCCCTACTCAACGCGAGCCTCATCACAAACACCATGCCCACCGTCAGACATGAGAACATGAGCATCAGACAAAACGCCAGCAAGTAGCGCGGACTATCCTGCGGCCTGAAGAAGTAAGGCCCCCAGATTCCCCCCAGCTGCGCCAGCAGACACACAAGCGCCGTCGCCGCGGCCCTCTTCTCGGGGCTGGCGCTCAGCGTGCTCGCGGCCCAGCTGAAGATCAAGCCCGTCGGCGCGAATGCCCCCGGCACGAAGAGGAAGCTGGCAAAGTACCGCACGGGACTGTTGACCGTCGAGGCCGTGATGATGTACCCGATCATGGCGACGCACAAGGGGGCCACGATGTGAAGGCCGCGCTCGCCCCGCCTGTCGCTGGACATGGCGACCCCGATGCTGACGACGGCGGCTAGGAGGTAGGGCGGCGCCGTGAGCACGAGCGCGATCGTGTTCGAGCCCAGCTTGAACCCCTGGACGATCGTAGGAAAGAAGCTCGTCAGCCCGTGACAAGAGAGGAAAAAGACATTCAAGCAGACCTGCGCGACAGGATCAGCAACGACATCACCTAACGGTCGTCATCAGCACTCACAAATCCCCACGTCTTGATGTCTGTAACAGCAAGCCTTAGCCCATGCCACACTGTCCCCTTCTCCTCCGGCACCGACACCCGGTCCGCGTCCATCCTCATCTTCGCAACCCTCAGTTCCTCCTCGCTCATCAGCCACGAGCAAACCCCCGTCTTACTCCCGATGTAATCCGGCAGAAACGCAAGCGCGGTGAAGGCCGACGCGAAACTGCCCGCCCCCTCGATGATGAAGAGCCACTGCCACCCCTCCAGCCCGCGGACGCCGTCTAGATGGGCGAACACGGCGGCGGCGATGAGCCCTGCGAAGGCGGTGGCCACGAGCATGCCAGAGTAAAGGATCGCGGTACGGAAGGCGAGCTCCTTCTGGGTGTACCAGCATGACAGGATGTAAATGACCTAGAGCGTGTCTTAGTACGCAAGAGTCTAAGGGGGTTAGGTAGGTGGGCTGGCAAACCCCCGGGAAGAAAGGCGCTTCAACCACGCCCAAGAAGACTCGGATGACCGCCAGACTCGAAAAGTCCTTAGCCGCTGCCGTTGAAGCGGATACGCATGACCACAGAATCACGCAGCAGGGGATATATATGCTCGGCCGGACCCGTGTTATGAGCATGTTGGACGGCAGCTGTGCGGTCATATACCTGCACTCCGTGTCAGTACCCATACACAACAAGTGTCAAACGGGACGTTTCGCGCGTGCGTACCCGACGTTGAATACCGACACAGCAGTGTTGAACTGGTTCCCCACAAGGCCCAGGTGCTTCTCGAAACCGTTCAATTTCGCCTGCCTAGCCTCTTGTTAGTTCCTTTCCACCCTGCCACTGACGGCGGCGCGAGACCTACGCCAGGTTGTTCCGGTCGAGAAAGTTGAACATGTACAATGTCCAGACCACTGGTAGCAACGACATGTCCAACTTCCTCACGAGGCTCTTCTCGGTGGCCCTCCATTCTGGCTGCTCCATGGCGATTTCCTCCGGCGGCCTGGTTGGCGAAAGTGGTGAATCCGGGACCACTGTGCCCTTCTCGACCGTCTCGACAGAGACATCTTTGCTGGCGAAACTTATCCTGCCCATGCCGTCCAAGTCGTCTCCGTACCGTCGTATGTGTCGTCTCTCCCAGCTTTGAAGGACAAGTAGTGGACGATAAGATGAAGAAAAGGTCAAGTTGATGGAATGCACTGTATTGGAGTACACAGTCCTGAACCCGCACATCGAGTCAAGGAGCATACGCAGGCCACCCTCCCCAAAGCCAAACGGTAGTGTTCGTCCCGGTATAATATCCAACCTTCTCACAAATCCAAATCCTTAAGACCACATGGGATTCTTGTGCCCATCTGCCCAAAACAAGCAACGAAAAGCCGAGAAAAAGCAAAGAGCCGATAACGAAGCTTGGCCCTCTCGGACGCACCGGGCTCCAGACTCCCCCATCGTTGTGCGTTGGTCCATTTGTATTGGAGGGGGAGGAAGCAAAAGTGTTGCAGGCTCAAAGTCTATATAATCGCATTTCTCACCCTCTTTCTAAACCTTGAATGTTTTGCGGCTGTGACCGCGGGAGTGTTGGATGGGAAGGGAAGTCAAAAAGGGAACTTCGACCAAAGAGATGTTAGTCCTGGGTCAAAATGAGTTAAGATCACCGGGGGCAATGATCGGACGGAAAGCCCACATAAACTCGGCCGATGGCGGTCCGCGGACGCGGGCATGCGGGATGGAACCCTCTTCACTTGGTAGAGCAAACAGCACGGGAATAACGAGGGCGTTCCACGCATCGTCAACTCTCCAACTTTTGATGAGGCTCACAAGTGGCTCAAAGGTGGAAACAAACAGAAAATTCTCCGTCGCGCCTCTCCGATATTCCCGAAAGGCGAGAAGGGAAAAAGGGGGGAAGCCCACCTTGTGGGTATGATGGACTAACACGTCATGGAGGTTATAAATCAGTACAATAGGAGGGTCGATCACGAGCGGCAACCGCGGCCCTCGTTCCGTCTGATATTACGCGGACAACGGACGTCGAGAAACACCGCGCCTTTCGAGAGTTCGTCACATTGCGAAACACCACACACACCCAACCCGGTTCACGTCACAATGCCATCGGACAACGTATCCGCCGCGACACGGCTCCGCAACCGTCTCAAGACGACAGACGACCTCATCCTTTTGCCTGGAGTGTACGATGGCTTCAGCGCGAGGATCGCACTCGGGGTCGGCTTTGACGGCCTCTACATGGTAAGAAACAACCTACCTGCCTCGTCCACAGTCTCAGCAGCTAAACATCGACAGACCGGCGCAGGCACTTCTGCCTCACGCCTGGGTCTTCCAGACCTCGGCTTTGCCACCCTCAATGACATGCGCTCGCACGCCGAGATGCTCGCCTCCCTGGACCCCTCCGTTCCCCTCGTCGCGGACGCGGACACCGGGTACGGCGGCCCGAACCAGGTCGCCCGTACGGTGACGCAGTACGCGCAGTCGGGGGTCGCTGGCCTGCACATTGAGGACCAGGTGCAGACGAAGCGGTGCGGCCATCTGACGGGCAAGGAAGTCGTCGACGTCGAGGTGTTCGCGGCGCGCATCAAGGCTGCGAAGCTCGCCCGCGAGAAGATTGGTTCCGATATTGTCGTGATCGCCCGCACGGATGCGCTGCAGACGCACGGGTTCGACGAGGCGCTGAACAGACTGAGAGCGGCCATCGCTGCCGGTGCAGACGTCGCCTTCCTCGAGGGTGTGAGGACCGAAGAGCAGGCCAGGGAGGCGTGCAAGGCGCTTGCACCGACGCCGGTCTTGTTGAACATGGTGGAGCATGCGTCGACGCCCTCGTGGACTGCCGCGCAAGCGAAGGACATCGGCTTCAGGATGATGATTGTGCCGTTTGCGTCGATTGCCCCGGCGTATGAGGCTATGCGAGACTCGTTGACCAGGTTGAAGGAGACGGGCGTGGTTGGGACGCAGCCGGACTTTACGCCGCGCAAGTTGTTTTCCATCGTTGGATTGGACCAGGCGATGGAGTTTGACGCTGCTGCGGGAGGGACTTCGTACAGTCAGGTAAAGGATGCGACCAACTAGGGCTTGGGTTATGCGGGAGTGGTGAGGAAGCGGCTCTGTCATGTTTTCTATATGCGAATGGAACATCGTGAGGTCGACCTCGGTCGAACGCAGCAGAACCAAGCCGTTAGAGGGACATAAACACGCAAAAGAAATAATAAAGAAAGTAATAATAAGAGACAAAACGGAACGGAAGACTTACTACTGCTAGGCCCCCCTCTCGCGTGACGAGAGACGACTCGAACTGGGCGCCCCTCCAGGATCACCAGATATCCTATTGGCGGTATTTGTTTGAACGTGTGCTTTTACCAACTGGGTCACGCCGTTTTCGTTGAACTGGTTGAAAGGCCTGGTGGTGAAGTTCGAATAAGTACCATAGGTGAGGCGGGAGGCAGTGTGGGTCCCGGCACGGCGGTCGTGTGGATTTTCGGAAGGCGCGCCGACTCTGTGATGCTCCTGCTGTAGATTACAACTTCCACACAGATGCATGACACGCGCCCAATGTGGTCGCCGAGTCGCTCCCGAGCAGCTTTCGACAGACGGCACCAGCGAGCGCCTTACGCTGCATCAACCAACGTCCAATCCGGGGCCTGTTGCACTTCTGGCTGACCGGTGACAGCCGAACCCAACATTAGAGTTGATTACTCTTGACAGAGTTTACAAGCTTTGGAGTAATCCGATATCCTGTTCATGCGGCTCTGTCAGTGGATACTTCCGAGGACTACTCTACTAGGCCAGATCGGCGCATCCATCAGTTCACTTTCTGTCCAATCTAGAACGCCTGTCAGCGCATGTTGCCACAAGTCTTGGAAGCTTCATGAGAGAATGAAGTACTCCGTGCTCCCCTCGTCAACATCATCCCTCAAGATGTCCGAATCACAACGACACAAGTTGAGCATTCGTGTAACGGCCGAACTGCCTTGACTTGTAGATGAGCATGCTTACACATGATTCTCCAAAGAGACATACTCAAGATAGCTCAGACATGGAAGGAACACATGATCAAACCAGTCTATTGCAAAATGCTCTTTAATATTGGTACAGACTAATAAGCCACGCCCCTTACAAGGCACCAAGCTCCTTGAGCTTCGCAACAAGCCCGTTGACGTCCTCGACCTTGCCGCCGCCCTGCCTCTGGGCAGGCTCTGTACACAATTATTAGCACAACCACCCAAACGTGCCCGTACAGCCAAAATCAACAACTCACCAGTAACCTTCAAAACCTTCAACCTCTTCTCAACACCAATGCCGTAGTCTGCCAGCTTCTTCTTCTCGAGCGGCTTCTTCTTCGCCTTCATGATATTCGGCAAGCTGGCGTACCGCGGCTCATTCAACCTCAGGTCTGTCGTGATGACGAGCGGCAGCTTCGCCTTGACGGTCTCGACGCCACCGTCAACCTCGCGCGTGACGCTGACCGTATCGCCCTCCCCAAACTTGACCTCGCTCGCCTGCGTCGCCTGCGACCAGCCCAAGAGACCCGCCAGCATCTGGCCCGTCTGGTTCGCGTCATCGTCGATGCTCTGCTTGCCGAGGATGACCAGGTTCGACTTGTGCTCCTCGGCGGCCTTGTGCAGCAGCTTCGCCACCGACAGCGGCTCGAGGTCGTCACCCTCCTTGGTCTCGACGTGGATCGCGCGGTCCGCGCCCATGGCCATGGCCGTCCGCAGCACGTCGACGGCCTTGGGGGGTCCCGCGGAGATGACGGTGATGTCCTCGACGCCGCCGGGCGCGCGCTTCTTCTCGCGGATGCGCACCGACTCCTCGACCGAGAGCTCGTCAAAGGGGTTCATCGAGTGCTTGACTCCGGCCGTCTCGACGCCCGTCTGGGCCTTGTTGACTCGGGGCTTGACCTGTGTTTTTTCGGATTCCGGGTGTCAGCTCGGTCGTCGGATCACAAGCCAAATCTCTGCGGCCCATTGCGGCTCGTGGGGTAGTCGAAACTTACAGCGTAGTCAATAACCCGCTTGACGGGGACGAGGATTCTGAGAGCGGACATTTTGGGACTCTCTGTTGGCTTGTACAATGGCCTCGGAGAGTTGATGGTGTTGCTGTCGTCGGGGGTGGGGTGGGATTGAAGACGGGAATTGGAGGTGGGAGCTCAGATTCAGAGTCGCCCGTGGCCGTGTCGTCACTGGGGAAAATGGGACCTCCGTGCAGCGATACCGGCTAACCTCGGGTCACCGCTCCACTTAACCCTTTTCGGTGATTCAGAGCAAAGACGCCGACTTGACCTGCGGTAACAGAATCCCGAAGGTGCGTCGTTTTTTCTTGAAGATTCGGCTTTCAGATATATGCGTTGCTTTTGATGAATCCGCTGTGAGGGAGACATTCTCCGCCGCAAAATGAGCAAAATGATACGCCGAGCCTCCAATCCTGTCCAAGGCAAAATGAGGAAATTCCTGTTTCCAAACAATTTGATATTGCAGCAAAATGATATTCTACGTTATGCAGGCCTGCCAAAGCACGATAACCGCTTACTCAACTCCCCAATTCACTTCTTCAGCATCACTCACCAGTCATCCCAGCCATCGTTGTCCTTCTTCGTTGCGGGCGCCGCAGCTCCGCCGGTCTTCTTGCCCATAGCCGATGTGCCGATGGAGCTGCCGCTGTTTGTCTGCCTCTGGTCCGCAAGGTTCGAGAAGCTGTCCCAAAAGTCCTTCTTGCTCTCGTCCAAGGGCGCCTGTCTTGATCCCTGGCCGCCTTGGGTATTAGGACCGCCCTCGACAAATCGGTTGAAGCCATCATGGGCGTTGCGGGCACCCTGCTGCGCTGCGCGGCCGACGTTGCCGGCGGCGACCTGAGCTTGTCTCGCAAAGTCGGATTCAGCCAGCTGGGGGGCGACGTATTAGTCCTGACGTCTTCGTCCGGGCCGGCGCCGGAGGACACGGAATTCCAGAAGTAGAAGAATCACCCACCTGTTTCGCTGTGGGCTGAATGTAGCCATCGTTGACCGTCTTGGCCGTCTTGGAGACGGTGCTCGTAAACCAGCCGAAGCCCTTGCTCAGCGCGGCCATGGGGTCTTTCTGCAGGTCGTCGACTGTCGGCATGCCAGCTTCGTTCTTCTCGGGCATCGGCGAGCTGCCAAAGCCCGCGTACTTGCCGCCCTGGCTCGGCGGCAGGTTGTCGGGTCTTGAGGCGTTTTCGGCACCGAGCTTGGAGAAGTACTTGTCGTCGACCTTAACCTTCCTGCCGGGACTGGCCGAGCGGCTGTTGATGCCGCTCAGCGGCGTGCCGGTCCTGCTGACGGGTTTGGCGGCAGCCGGAGCGGGCGCGGCCTTCTTCTCTCCGGGAACGTACTCCTTGCCCTCAACATTGGCCGTGAGCCTGTCCTTCCACTCCTCACCCACCTCTCCGCTGTATCGCTCGGCAATAGTCGCGTCGTCCCATGAGACGCCCCTCATCTTGGTATCCTCGTGCTGCTCAAAGAAGTTGCGCCAGTTTTCATTGCCACCGAGGCGCATCCGCTCGATCTCGACCTGCTTAAAGGCGTCCATGGAAATACTGCGCACGAACGAAATGTGCACACCGAGGCCTCTGTGAACACCGGCGCATGACAGGCAGATAAACACGCCAAACTTTGGGGAGGCCCATTGCGGAGACGGGGCGTTACAGTCGCAGCAGACGTTGTTCTTGGCCTCCTTTTGAATCGCGGCCAGCTACGAGGACAGAAGGGTCAGCGAGGAGCCGCGCAATCGCAAGACGGCAAACGGTGTCGAAAAAGGACTCACCTTGGCTCGCGTCTCGGGGTCGACCTCCCACATGGCCTTGGAAGCCATCGTGGAAGGATTTCAAGCGGTGCGGGGGAGGAATGCAGGCAATTTGACGGACGGCTAGGCCGCGCGGGTTGAGGTATGTTCGAGGTTGTCGCAGCGAGAATTGTGGAGGGGCTCGTGGGTGTTGGATGCCGATAAGGGGTCGTGGTTTCTGCAGACCAGGGGGACGGGAGTCTGGGCGGACGTAAACAGCTGGCCCTGCTGTTAATTTAGGTCGGGTGGTAGTGCAATTGACCTCTTTGGACCAGGGGGGGCCATACGCGAGCTGAGCCTCAACTTTCAAGTCACTGTGGCGCCCAAAACGAGGATTTCTTTCGCTGTCTTCTCTCCTACTGGTGGCGTCTTGTCTTGGATGAATGGCAACAATTAACGTATGCAGACTCGCCGCGTACGGCCACAAGACAAGACAGGGGGTTTATTTCATGGGGACAGCCGAAGGCTGGAGCATCGGGGGGACTCTCGACAGGTCCAGACTGCCTCTGGGACACTTGGCTTTTGGGCCCCTTTGCCGCCACCAATGACAGCCCTCGAAACACTGACAAGCGCCACTGAAACCGACACCGATTCCACCCAAGGTAGCCCAACCCAGGAACACCAGGTCAGGTATCCGCAGAACCCATCATGCGGAGACGGCACTCTGTCCGACGTTCAGACGGACGCGAACTCCGGATACGCTTTACAACCTTATTTCACCGGACTCGCAAACAGGCACGGCATGGCACAATTACTTGCATTTGGTTGGCACCATTTCCATTAACTGCAAAAAGCTACCCGATTTTATTCGTTTTGCGCCGAACTTTTCCTCTTCCTTCCAGACCGCCTCGCGCGAAAGCTAATGTACAACCCAGCAAAGGGTGACGGAGAAAACGGGAGGTAGGTAACAGATGCAGAGAGAGGTCGTCGGTGAGATCGTGTGTATTAATTTAGTGATGATGGCAGCGCTGCACATCCGGTCTGGCCTATCTACCGAGAACGAGTCTGGAGAAAGCAAGACGTAGATGCAATGGCCACCTTTTTCAGGGGCACTTCCAAAAAGGGGGAAATCGTCGTAACAGATACCGCATCATGAAGCTCGTAAGGGCGACATCTCTGAAAGCTGGCTCAGAGATGCCATGCCGGGGCTGGGTGGTTTTTTTTTTCGCCTATATCTAGGCGGTGGTGGTAGCGGGAGCCGCAGCAGCAGCAGGGGCAGCCGCGGCGGGGGTAGCGGCAGCATCGGCGGCGGGAGCAGCCTCCGAGGTGCCGTTGGCCTTGGTCTCCTCCTTGGGAGCATTGGCCTCCTCATCGGTCTTGTCAGGGCTGTCAATAGCGACCTTGACAGCGATCTCGCGACCCTCAATCTCCTTGCCGTTCATCTCGTTGACGGCCTTCTGCTGAAGCTCCTCGGTGGCGAGGGTGACGAAGCCGAAGCCACGGCCCTTACGGGGCTCGCCGCGGGCCTGGAGCTTCTTGATCATGAAGCGGGGGATGGGGCGCAGAGCGATCTTGGCAGAAGAAGGCTCGTAGGCGGCGAAGAGCTCCTTCAGCTATGGGATTATTAGCCAGATGCAATGCAAGTTGCTACGGATAGATGACTGACCTTCTCCTCGGTCAGGTCGTAGGGAAGGTTAGCGACCATGACCTTGGTCTTGGAGGCGATGCCGTCGGCTGGGGGGCCACGCTCACGGCGCTCACGGGGAGCACGAGCCTGAGCAGGCTTCTCGGTCTTGGCGGCGTCAGTAGTGTTCTTGTTGGTGGCGTCGGTCAAAGGCAGAACCTCAGAGGTGGGCGGGACTTCGGCGGCAGCATCAACAGAGGCGGCAGCACCCTCAGCACCCTCCTCCTGATCAGATGTTAGTAAAGATATCACGGGGTATGATGTTCCTCGGGGGTGACTCACGCGGCCACCACGGGCGCCACGACCACCGCGGCCACGGCCACGTCCACGGCCACGGCCAGATGGTCTGCGGCGGTTACCCTCACCAGCGCCCTCTCCGTTAGCACCCTCGGTCTTCTCTCCAGCAGGCTCAGGCTTGCGGGCAAGCTGAACGGAGACCTTGCGCTCCAGGATCTCCTTGCCGCTAAGCTCAGAGATGGCGCGCTCGGCCTCGGTGGGGGTAGAGAGGTCGACGAAGGCGTAGCCAACAGGTCGGTCGGTGCGAGGGTTCTTGGGAATGGAGACGGACTCGCTGTGAAAAAAGGCGGGTCAGTATGAGCTGGCACGCGCGACGCAAGTGGGTGGAATTTTGCGGGGCTGGTCAGGGAGGAGAGGCCACGGGGCAACATCGTGACATTGAAGAGAGGCGGTCTGCAAGGCAAGGCGACAGCCCATGGGGCCATGCAGACTCCAGACGGGTGCAGCATGATGACTCTCCTGGTCCGCAGACAGGCAGCGACGTGAAAGCCGCGCCGTGGTTCGGAGGATATGTCGTGGCTGGTGCTTGGGGTAGGCAGGTGCGACTGACCGCCCGAAGCTCGAGTGGGCTCCCGGTGGCATGACGACACCTGGGTTCGGAAAACACGAAGGGAAAAAAGGCGACTTACACAAGGTAACCCTTGAAGAACTCCTTCAACTCCCCCTCAGTTGTCGCGTAGGCCAGGTTGCCGATGTACAGACGGCGTCCCTCAGCAGCGCTGGCGAGGACGGCATCGTTGTTGGCGGCAGGCTTATCGGCGGCCTTGTCGGTGATAGAGGCATTGCTCAGAGCGTTGGTAACGTCATTGACGGCTTCGGAAACCTTTTCGACGGCAGCAGACATCTTGGCGGTGTTTAGGCTGGGATGAAGAAGAGGCTTGAGGTTGATTGTAGGCTGCGTGCAGGATGAGGTGCGTGATAACAGATGACGTGCGGACGAACTTGGGACCTGGTGACAGGAACGACGGTTCGGTTGCTTGGGTGGATTGGAAGTTCGGTGAAGTTGAACTCTGAAACAATGGAGGGGGGGATTTTAGGGTAGCTTGGTGCCCTAGAAAGCTTGAGAGAGGTTGACAGACGACTTTGCGTTGCGCGGTGACACAGGATCTTGAAGTTGTGATGTGGAGGAAAGGGGAGAGAGGAAGGGAGGCCGAGCCGCGACCTGAAATATGTACAAATATTTTTTTTCTGGTGAGCAGGGGGGAACGAGGGACGAGGGTAAGCGAGGCGCAAACCCACCGAACAGCAGGTGCGGCCCACAGCCTGGGAGGCCGTGGTCAGTGTCTAGCGGTAGGTAGCGGCAGGTACCTTCCTTAGCTACCTTTACGGGAGTGTCGAATGGGCAGGTGTGGCGGTGCGGCCGGTGGGTACTTGCCTGTTGTGTGTCTGCACAAGCATGAGGCAGGCAGGGGTTTGGGGAAGGAGAGACGCCCAGGGTGGTTGAGAGGGGACCGCCAGGTAGCTTCCTCACCGAATGACGGAATGGTAGGTCTGATGTGTCGTGATTACCATATATTTTAACAACCGTAATGACCAAACGGTGGCTCTCACTTGATTGCTCTACGTACGTTGGAGTTGTTTTTTTTCAAGCTGTTGCTTTTTCTCTGTCTGTCTGTCTGTCTCTCTTAAACACTACGGAGTGCATGAGGTACACTAGCATCGCACCAACTTGAGATGAATGGAGGTTGACAGCTGGGCTGTTCCTGCCGCTAGCAGACAGTTGCTGATAAACTCCACGCTCCCCGATGCTCCAGCAAGAAGGGGCAGCCGGCCACTTTGGGACGAAAGACGAAAGGCGGTCGGTGAGGCCCTGTCGCCAGGCATTGAGCTGGGCGAGGTACGTACCAAGAGGAGGTGAAGATGAAATGTCGTCCAGAGGAAGGATCCACGCGATAGTGTTAGACATGGCAGGTACATTGATGGGCAGCCACAGGGCACGGGCTTCCACCGACGGGGGTGACTGACAACACCCCTGCACGGAACGCCGTGTTGCAGCTTCTGTGCATTTTCTTTTCCCATCCCCCATCTCATGTCGATATCATCGCAATATGGCCTTATCAAACACAATCGCCCAGATGCCTGGCCATGACTGGCTGGCCAGCCACAAGCACCTGCTGCACACGCAAAAAAAAAAAACATGACAACGATCAACACACAAAAACATGCACTTGCTTCGCGACCGGAATCCTGTGTGATCTGCCCAGGCGGTGACCACAACACCGGCCTATCAGGGAAATGAAATGACTCTTCCCCCGCAAAATGCCTGCGATGGGATCCCAGCCAAGGCAGCATTGATCCAGTGTCCACCCGCTGATGTGCGTGTTCGTGGAGCCACTGGGAGCCGAAATGCGACAAAGATCTCGGCACCTACGGCCACTCTACACGGAGCCTCCGGATGCTGGTCCAAACCAGATGGCCTGGATATCAAAAGATCTCATGCCAAATTCGTCTCGCCGCGATCAAGCAGGTCACTTGCCGATGCAGTTTGCTCAATGTGTCGGCAAGTTCGCTTGCTGACCACAACTCTCCCGATTGGATACTTCAACAACGACATCGGCAGTACTTGCAGCAATTGCCCCAGGGCCCGCATGTTGTGGAGAGGCATGCTGTGATTCAATTCTTTTGCCTTCTCTGTCCTTCGGCCAAGCCATTGCAACTAGAGGTATGATTTGGAGAGCAGCCAGGAGAGCGGCGACCTGTTCTGGTGCTCAGCCAACCTCGTCGAAGCCTACCGCAGAAGCAAGCTTATCCTTCAAGCTGACAGGTGTTTTCGGCAAAACTTCCCCAGCCAGGCCCCCAAATGCCATCATTTAAGAAGCAGCCAGGAATCTTCTCAACCTTCCGCAATATGTCCAATCTGAGGACATAGTCATAGTTCGGACCACCAGGGTCCCCTTCAGCGACAAGCATCTGATTGCTTTGTACAAGCTTACCGGTATTCGGTTCAACTCTCACCCCAAACCAGCAGGTTCTCGTCCGCTGTTCCTGTTGGTCCAAGAGAAACATGCGCCGGAGATTTAAATCCAAGGGTCCACCGCAACCGACTGGTACACCGATTGAGTTGCCTTGCTCTTTGTCCAACCCTACCTTGACTACCCTCAGCTACACCAAGGTAGGACAGGTGCCGGCAGAAGTCCGTCTACTTGGTCGCCTTGCAGTAGCCTTGCGGACTGACGCCGTCCATTTTGCTGCAGCAAGACTAAAGCGAGCAGGGCAAGCTCGACTGTCGCAACAACGTCGAAAGCACTCGTTCAGCAGCACGGGCAACGTGAAGTGAAGCTCGATGCGCAACTGACCGCTGATCCGATCCGAAGATGGAAGTGGCTCGGCGGATGCCCATTCGGGACCCGTCTTCCGTCCCCGGTTGACGCCGCACTCCCGTATCTATGGGACCGCGGAGAGGTGCTTTTGCGCCCGAAATTGGACCAGAATGAACAAATTTCCCATGGCCCACTGGATTTCGCGGAGCGCATGAAGGCTTTGGGGAGGGTCCCCGGCATCCTACGCTAAGGCGCCAGGGGTCTGGACGGTGCCACACAGGGTAAATCGGCGCGAGAAATAGGGACGAGGGCCAGAATCCGAGATCCTGCATCTCTCATGTCCGATGTTCAATATCTGGAAGCAATAAGGCCAATACGAATCAATAGGAGGCGGTCTGCCAGAGTCTTGGTCCACAGGCAATCTCGCATCCGCTCAATTTGGTGGTTTGCTCTTCAACTGTCGCCTCATACGGCGAGCTCTGGACACGTCCCAAGGTCTGTCAGAGGCCGTGTTGACTGATGTTAGGGCGAGGCGATGACAAGTGGCAGGCAAGTCAGAGGGTGAGGCGAGGCGACAGCCTGAGTCGGGAAGCTTTCCGCTGAAGGTCGTCGCTCGCCTTACCGTCGAGCTGGCCTTTCATCGGGTCCCTCCCACCTTGCCTTAGGTTTCCCCACAGGAGCTTCTTCAGAATGGGGCGCCCATCGCTCGTCCAGCCCAAGGGGGTGACAGTGACACTGGCGCCGCCGTCCCGTGTCCGCGGTGGCCCGCCCAGCCGTTACCTCACATGCAAGGCCCAGAGCTGCCGTATCTTTGGGGGGCACCATCCACCCATCCATTACCGCCCTAAACCCAAGAAGATTAGCGACCAAGTCCCGGCACTTAGGCCCTGTGTGTCTCTGCTTTGTTGTTCCTCCAGAGGGCCACGAGAGACCTGTGGCGCAAACTCGTCTGACCCGGATCTCGGGAATTATCCATGCTCTGTGGCTGATCAGCATGACACACGAATCATCTGCGGCACCTTGGACAAGGGCCACCGTATTTCTCAGTATCGAATTGTCCGCTTCGGACAGTCTTCATTCACTCTCGTAGATTTGCGTTCTGGCCGCCACTCATCGCTCCGCGACCTCAGTCCGGCTTCATCTCACCTGCAATGCGCAGTAGCACGTGATCTCCGTACCGCATTGTGCCGTAGCTAGCCAGCCTGGATGGCACCCACCTCCGATGCCGCTGGAGGGGCAAAGAAAAACATCTCTGGTGTCTGCGCACTAACGAATCAATGAGCCGCATTTACTAAGAGTCACGACTCTCACGACTAAGGCTTTCATTTGGGATTGCGGCCAAGTGATTCTATTAAGATTTGGCGGAATTGTCAACTCTGGAATTTTGTTTTCAAACTCGGCCAATTGTGAGAGAGAGAGAAAACAGAAAGAAAAAAAGAAGCCAGCCAGATACATGAACATGACGGCCTCAGATAACGGCCTCGAGCCGGCGCATGTAGCCAGTATCCCCGGTCGGTCCATGCTGATCCTCTACGGCTCAGAGACGGGCAACAGCCAGGACATTGCCGAGGAGCTGGGCCGGAACGCCCAGCGCCTGCATTTCAACACCAAAGTAGACGAGATGAACGGGGCTCAACTGGTTCGTCATCCATGGCCTTTCAACTCAATAAGGCGCGATGTTGTTAACTCCCAATTACAGAGCTTGCTGCTTCAGTACACTCTTGTTGTCTTCGTCATTTCAACAACAGGCCAGGGAGACATGCCACGCAACTCGACCGTCTTCTGGAAGAGTCTTCTGAGAAAAAAGCTGCCGCCTGGCTGTCTGGGTAACGTCAAGTTTACGACCTTTGGGCTCGGTGATAGCATGTATATCAAGTATGTCTTTGCCAGTCTTCTTCGGCACAGGCGAGGGTCTAATGGAGGTTTCAATAGGTTCAACTGGGCAGCCAGAAAGCTTCACAAACGGCTGGAGCAGTTGGGAGCGCAAGAGTTCTACCCTCGAGGCGAAGCTGACGAGCAAGACTCAGATGGGTGAGTGACTTTGAGTTGTATTTTGCCGGTCTTGTGGCGACCCTCTATTTTCTTCCCGTTTGATCGCAAACCCCTACGACACATTCCACTGACAATGCCGCAGCGCGGATGAGAGATACATGCCATGGGCCGCCGATCTCCGCAAGAAGCTGCTCGACCTATACCCCCTCCCGGCGGGTGTTTCTCCTATCCCAGATGATGCTCTGCTGCCTCCACGGTACAGCATATCGTTGTTGAACCTAGACGCGGAGAGCACCAAAGGCCACGAGCCAGACCCTGAGAAAGCCATTGACGAACTCTCGCAGGAGACAAACTCACTCAAGATCGCCGATACACCCCCTTCCACCCTCCTACACATTCCCTCAAGTCAACCTGCAACACTCACGCACAACACCCGTGTAACCCCCTCCACACACTTCCAAGACGTCCGCCAAATAACCCTCACCCTCCCCTCCCAGCCGACAATATCACCCTTTGACAGCCTGACGATATACCCAAAGAACTTCCCTCAAGATGTTCAGAAGCTGATCGACCTCATGGACTGGGGCCCTGTGGTGGATCTCCCTCTCTCCCTGCCGTCGGACCTCCCCCGCGGGCTCTTCGTCGATCCCACTACCAGCACCACCCTCCGCCATCTGCTCACCCACAACCTCGACATCACGAGCATCCCTCGCCGCTCCTTTCTCAAAGAAATGTTCTACTTCACCACGGACGAGTACCACAGGGAACGCCTCCTCGAGTTCACGATGCGTGAGTACACGGACGAGTTCTACGACTACACCACACGCCCGCGCCGCACCATCCTCGAGGTCCTCGAAGAGTTCACCTCCGTACGCATACCCCTCGGCCGCGTGCTGGACATGTTCCCAATCATGCGGGGGCGCGACTTTAGCATCGCCAGCGTCAGGCAGCAGCAGGACCAAACGACAGAGGTGGAACTGCTGGTGGCGCTGGTCAAGTACAAGACCATCCTCCGCAAGATCCGCCAGGGCCTATGCTCGCGGTACCTCGAGTCGCTGCCGAAGGGCACGCCGCTAAGGATAACGCTCAACCGCAGCTCCGCGTCGCTCCACGGCTCAGCTCATGCCCGCAGACCTCTGGTGGCCGTCGCCACGGGCACCGGTGTCGCGCCGCTCCGTCTCTTCATCGAGGAGCGCCTCTCGCATGGGGGTGATGTAGGCAGCACGGCCATCTTCTTTGGCAACCGCAGCCGCCACGCTGACTTCCACTTTAAGGATGTGTGGGAGGATCTCAAGAGCCGGCAGGAGAAAGGCGGGTTTGCGGTGCACACTGCCTTTTCGCGCGACAAGGACACGCCGCGCGAGTACGTCCAGGACGTGATTCGCAAACGACCGGCCGAGATCAGGTCCATGGTCGCCGGCAACGCAGTCTTCGTCGTCTGCGGCGGCAGTCTGAAGATGTCCAGGGCCGTCAAGGAAGCTGTCAAGAGTTGTTTGGCCGAGGATAAGGAGGCATACCCCGACGAAGAGGCAGTGGAGGCGGCTTTCGGAAAGTTGACCTGGTGGGAAGAGATTTGGTAGACATTTGAGTCTTGTAATGCATAGAAGAGGTCTCTGGCGGTGGAAGGGGTTTCGCAAAGTCTCATTCATAAGCATAGGCGCATGAATCAACCTTGCCGACGACATATACTAGAATTCACATGCAGTGTAAGCCTGTAATTGTCTTTAACGAATTTGTCTTGAGGCCCGAGAGCCTTTAGTCTTTGACTATGAATGTCGACGGTACAAATACGCAGCAGGGCACGCTGTCTCGTAGCCACTTGCTGATATCGGCCCTTTTGGCCTCTAACCACTACCCATGTCCCTCTATGAATTCATCATTCCTATATCGAGGCTCCCATCAGAGAGACATCCTTCGAAATCCGGGAAGTCTTCATGGATTTGCGGCCCTCTTTTGTAGACATGCCCAAACGCCAAGGTCCTATTTTGGACTGAGGTATCTAAAACTCCGTCGCGTATTGCGATGATCCGTATAATAAAGAAATAAAACGAAAGTAGGAATGAAGAGAAAATATGCCGCCTGCAAAGATGCGGTTGAGCATTATAAGTCGTAATGCGTAATGCAAAATGTGCAAAGATTTCGTGAGAGGCTTCGTCGCTAGTCTTCCCAGCTGTATCGGCGCTCGGCCGGCTGGGGTACGTGGATCCATTCGGTGCCGTCCAGTCGGCCCATCGACAGGTCCGGTTCCGCGCTGTGGCTCCGTTGCTGGGTTTCGGGCACGCTTGCCTGCCTGGTCAGCTCTTGCTGCGCCATGAGCTCCTCCTCAAACTCGGTGAAGTTGCTTCCCAGCGTGTCGGTTGAGAAGCGGCGATCTGTTATGAGATCGGGAACCGAGAGGAGGGTGCGGCCCTGGGGACACAGCGGGAGCGGGGCAATAGGATGAGGGTCCGATAGAGAAACGTTCTCTGGCAAAGGCCCAACGCAAATCACGTTCGAGGGATCGATGGGTGTTCTTTGATAGATGGCCCCTGGTGGGGAGACGGGTAGAAGAGGAACGGCAGAGTTTGGGGGGGAGTTGGCAGAGTTGGAACGGCTGGGGACAAATAGATCGCTGTTGAGGGAGACAGGACGGTTGATGGAGACAGAGCGGGCTATTGTGTGCCCGTAGTTGCTGACCGTGAAGGTTGGCGACGGATATGTGTGTCCGTCAGTCAAGGGTGATGGGAGATCGGACATACGGTTCGTCCAGTTGCCTTGCGGGCTGCTCATAGGAGACGGCAGGGACCCTTGATTGGACGAATAGTTGTCGCCCATCGTAGGGGACATGGGCGAGGTCGGGGATGTGGGAGATGAGGGAGATGACGCAGAGGCTGACGAGTGCATGTCGACCGGCCTGTAGGTTGCAACTGGCTCCAGGTCCGGCATCGACTTTTCTGGGGGAGGGAAGTCTGCTGGGTTCTCTGGAGGGCTGTAAGCAGGCACGGGGCCCTGTAGCTGAATCTCAATGTTCCTCCTAGCCGCCTCGTATGTGCCCGCGGTTTGCGTATCCATTGTTCCAAATCCTGTGGGCTCGTGCAAGGACTTGCCGTCATCTCCGTCAAGCTCGATGGGGGCGATCGGTGCTGGCAGTTCGTACACGGCGTGATTGGCATCAGCCGCTACCTCAATGGGCTGAGAAGTGCTACCCATGACTTCTTGCGGGGAGCCTCGCTTTGCCTTCTTCTTGCCCAGCATCTTGGAGAACATCTTTGCCACAGGACTCCTAGGCGGCTCCATCATGATGGTTGAAGCCGTGTCTTTGCCCTCTTCCATCGCCCGCGCCGCCGCACAAGCTGCCCTCTTCCTTCGGCGGAGGCAGTACCACGCGACCAGCAAGACAATACAAGAAGCAACCACTCCAGCGGCGATCCCTCCCATCTGAGCTGTTGAGAGACCGTGAATGGTTGCCTGCGCGGGAGGACCGGGGTAAGGGCTGTTGTCAGGCTGCTTGATCTGAGAAATGTTGAGATGTGTCTGGGCGTCCTCGGGGAAAACCGCTTGGTGGAGAGAGAAAACGCCACTGTCATACTTTGTGATCAGGTACGCCTCTTGAAGGAAGGATCTGCCGATGATGAGTGTGTTGGTGAAGTTGGAGGCGCGACGGAGTGGGAAGTAAGGCACGGCCGGATCGCCGTACTTGATTGCCTCGTCCATGAAAGGATAGCGCAGGACCTGCGCGAAAGCCGCAGCTGTGATGGTGATGTTGACTACGCCTGGGACTGTGAGAGGGTGTCCAAAGTCGTCCGTGTTGTCATGGCTGCTAAAGGAAAACGTGAACGAGTACGATGACGACTTCAAGGCGGCATACTGCTCGTTGGTGACTGTGTAGAGGTTGAAAGTGTTGTTGTACGTCAAGTTGAAGGCAGCGGCAAATTGATCGCAAATGGCATCCGGGAGCCAGAGATAGGGAGTGGAGCTATCAATCATGGCTGAGAATGAAGTCGTCATGTTGGATAGAATCTGAGTCCGGGAACCCCAGCCTCCTGGAACCGCCTTGCCTTCGCCCACGGTCACCTCAATCCCCCGAACCAACGCATGAGGAAGTCCATCACTCGGGTCCAGGGAAAACTCGGTGTTGTGCGGCACAAACCGGCTTGAGTCGTATCCTCCCAAAGTCACGGAGCACGGCGTGCCGGAAGTGCCCTCTGCCGAAGGTTAGGACGTGGTGTGGCTGGGGAGGGGACGGCTTGACCTACTGTAGTAAGCACCGGCGGTGTAGCCGTAGCTGTAACTAGGGATCCAGCCGTAAGTCTTGACGGCCTGCGTGAGAGGCGACTCAGCGATTTCATTGCCAAAACTGCCCTTGGTGATGCCGAGGCCAAGAAATCCGAGGTAATAGTCGGTGCTGTTGATCGAAGCTGTGATGATGTTGTCCATACTAATCGCATCCCCCGCGAGCGTCGTTGTCGAGAGGGTGTCCAGGCCATAGTCGCCGTTGCCGCCGTAACCGAGATAGTCCAGACCAAGTTGCCATCCTCCCAAAGGATCCCAAGATTTTGAGTCTGTGACGGTGAAAACATTACCTCGGGCGGAGTTGCATAGAGGCTCCTCTACATCGCGTGTCAAAGCATGCCCCACGAATAACAAAACGGGTCAGATATACTTACTTGCAAGGCACCCTCCAGCACCGACAGCCCAAAACTCCGACAGCGAGGTGCTCACAAGAACATTAACAGACTGCCTAGGCGTGCCGACCTGGAATTTGACCGTTGACCAGTTGCCGTCGACGCCGTACCAGTCGTTCGAGGGAGTGAGAGCCACGGCGGAAGGGCTTTGTGCGCAGACGATGCCAACAAGCACCGTTGCGACGAGAACAGTTGACAGCATGCCGCCGATGTGAGGTAGAACCCGGCTTGTGGTTCGTTCGAGGTGCGCGCAGTCACCAAGATGTCGTTGTGATCTGCATGGGCGTTCCAAGGGAAGAGAGGGCCGCTGAGAGAGTTGTGTCCATCAACTGAAGCTATTGCCGAGCCGTCCACGCGATGCGCTTGGCGAGAGCTGCGGTCATGACTTGTCCCGCAAAACCAATCTGCAGGATGTTGTCGAAATAGTGGTGTGTGTGTGTGTGTGTGTGTGTGTGTGTGTGTGTGTGTCTTGAAGAACGGAAGACGGAAGAGGAGGGGGGAAGGCAGGGCAATTGAATGATGAGCGGAAATTCTAAGTTTCTGCCATTGAATTGAGTGGGTGGCACCCAGCTACTGCGGTAGAAAGCGTCCATGGCTATCCAAGCAAGGAAGAGCCAGGCCCTACCGACCTGGACAAGGGCTGTGCCGCAACAAGCAAGGGAAAGCCGGATGGCTCAATGGCACGTCGGGGTGTGAGACAAGGACCAGGGCCCCGTCCAGCACCGGTCTGGTGGTCCCGTCGTTCTTGGGAAAGCTGGGGACCGGGGTACGTACAAAGCATGCATCCTTACCCTCTTATCGACTTATCGACACACAGTGCTTTTGCCTGCTTCAGGACAAGTGCGGCGGAGCGTGACAAGCCTCCCTGAGCAGCATGGCCGTTGTCGTGCCCTCGAGAGGCTCCAGAAGCCAGCAAGAGCCATGTGTGCGCCCCGCAAGAGATCGAGACACAGCAAGACTGGAACCCAGCGGGGGGCTGTAGTGTCGCCGCCGCCGTCCCCGTCGTGGACGATGTCGACATGCTAACGTCCTAGTGTATGGCACCGTTGAGATCGATACATGGGTGAGAAGACGACGAGTGTGGTCATCCGTGGGTTGGAGGATTGGGATCATTAGACGCGGCAGGCGAGGAGTAGGCTAGGCGGGGAGTGAGCTGTGACTGCGACTGCGACTGCGACTGCGACCATGACGACGGCGAGAGCGAGCGTGTTGTCTGCGAGTCTCACGCATGTTTGCGAACAGAGACGCCTTGGCGACACGAGGTAGCGAAGGCTTATGGTGCCTCTCCTTTGAGTTTTGGCCGTTTCTGTAGCGGGAAGCTCAGCTGGCAAGTCGCACAAGTTGGCAATGGGTTTAGAGGTTGCCATGGCTGTCAACAGATGTTAACCGCAGGCAAGTCGAGGAGCCATGAACCCGCTAACCGGGTCGCGCTTGGACTATCGAGCATCTGGGCCGCCTTTGTCTGTGGTCTCGTTGCCCCTCGAGATGAGATGCGGCGGCGATGGTGGGATAAAGACGGGACGGCCGAGGACTTGCAGGTAACGCAGAGCTTGGAGACGGAGAAACGGCGACTTGGATGACATGGCCGGAGAATATGAAGCAGTGGAGTGGTGTCAGCAACGCGCTTGGGGCAGGTAGGCTTTCGTAGAAGTGTCCGGCCTGCATGGCTGGTTGGCAACGACGCAATGGACAAGACACGAGGGTGAACAATGCGTCGATGGCGCGGTTTGTTCAGCAACTGCCAAGGGTCGAATAACACTAAGTAGAGTGGCCAAGAGGCTGCGGAAGAAGGCTTCTGCCGATTCAGACAGTCTGGCATCCTGCCATTTCCTGGACAAGTTTGTCTCTTGGGGGCTGGCTGGTGCGGTTTGGTCATGGGATGCCTCTGCAGGTCGTACCTTGTCTGGGCCATCTCGCTAAGCCGTCAGAGTTGAGGCAATCAACCTGGAGCAATCACATTGTTCTGGCAACTGCTGCAGGCAGCCACTGGCAGGGCGAGATAGAGTGAGAGTGAGGACGTGTGAATATTGTTGTTGTCGCCAGAAGGGGTCCGACGCCACGAGGAAGGGTATTCGTAAGGGTCCGTGACTAAAGGCTGTAGAAGGGGATGCGGCGCAGGACCATTGGAGGGCGTTGAATTGACGTAGTTTAGCGGCCGGGACAACGGCAGCAGCTCCAGCTCGTGATGATTTGCTGAGGCGAATCGACGGTTGTCGGGCAAGCAGTGCCTGTCTGTCTGTCTGTCTGTCTGTACCTTGCGTACTTGGAAGTAGATACCTTAGGCAGGGGCAGGGGGAGACTGGGAAATCAAAAGAAGCAGGCACGGCAGGACACTTGCACCCGCCCGGCTACTTTCTCATATGGAAAGAGCACCACACTGCACCTCAGCAATTGCCAATAACGTGCGCAAGAGCAAGGAAAGAGGCACGACGGGATGTCTTTCCGTGTCAGGAACCCTGACCCAAGCACCTCAGCCTGCGGACCTGAGTTGGAGACTGCAAGTCTGGGCTGCACAATGCCAGCTGGAGTTTCTGTCATTCGACTCGTCCCATCACTTCCCGTTGTCCACCACCTGCCATACCTACAGCCAGGGCAGCAACCTCACCACCCACACCCACCGGAGTCTCCGTCCCGCCTCCGGCCTTGTGCGTGCTCGACGTGGACGTGGACGTGAGGTCCATTTTCACTCAGCAGCCAATGGCCCCATGCCTACCTCTCCAGTCTCTCTTGTCGGCGTCAAATCGGCGTCCCGCGAGTCGCCAGCTGAGGTGGAGAACGCAGAGGGATGCAACTGAATCTTGTCTCCCGTTGTCTCCCGTTGTCGGCCCTGCAGAGCGGCCCTGCGCGGTAGCAGCAATGCACATCACGGTTCCGCAACGACGGATGCCTTTCGATCCAATGCAACCGTGGACCGCAGCTTCTCCATCTCTCCCCTTTCAGCGCCAGCCATACTCCCCACACGCTGGACCCCAACCCGGCTCTTAGCACGACAGATATAAACCCGCCTTCAGGGACCGCCTCTATTCTGGGTTCAGTTGTTTTGCAGTCCAAGAGCCCGCTGCCGCCGTCGAGATTCCTTGGCGGCCTTGTGCTGCGTGCGAATAGCTGCCCCTTTCAGATCCTTGGGGTTGTGTTGCTCGCTTCTGCGTGGAAACACCAACAACATGCGACGCGACGGTGCGACAGCCCAGGACCACGCCCGCTGTCGCTATTGAATCACGGCCACGGAATAACAACTTGCGTACCTTACCTTGAGCTGTAACCTACCGGAACCGTGCCGGAATCCGCGACGTGCTCAGAGACCCAATCAGTCCCATCATCCCTCACGGGCCACAACTCGCGAGGCCTTGCGGCACCGGCTTCTTCGGGACTGGACTGGAAATAATTTCATCAATTCATCTATAATCGCAATCATAATTGTCAACCCGAACAAGACAGAAGAAAGCACCACGAAACAAACTTTTCCTGCTCCGCGGCCCAGGCTCGTCTACCTGACACCTCTTCAGCCCGGCCAGGCACGCCGCTAGCAGAAGAACCAAGCAGAACCCAGCAGCATCTTTGCCACTAGCAAGAGGCACGAGAAACCAAAGACAAGTCCAAGGGAAGAGTGCTCCGGTTCCGCTGCTGGTAGCCCGCACCGCACTCGCTTGTTGATCCTTTTGATCGGGTCCCGCTGGTCATGATGCCGACCTCTCCATTGCGCGGGCGAGAACTGCAACTGGCGGGAGACGACACGACCAGAAAGACTCTTCGTGCTCACAGCGTTTCTAGACAGCCTGGGCCGGTTGATGGCCTCACTGCACCGACAGTGGGTCTTGGTCAGGAACAGGTCCAACGATCACTCACTCAAAGTTATCACTTGTGGCCCTGGAGAGTGAACCGGGCCAAGACTGACTCGCATCCCGGGAACCGTTGAAAAGACGCCCGCATCACCGAGGCTATCTATCGGCACTCAACATGTTCCTTGCCAGGCTGCTTGTAGGCCTGTTGCAACGCCATGGCTCGGCAGGTATCTGCAGCGCCTTGGCTGACTGTGCCTATGCCGTGGTGAACTGCAGTCCCCTCCCTACGCAGTGGTTACAGTACGCTATGTCTGATAGCCGGTCATCATGGAGCCGTGGTGTGATGTCGGTCATCACCGCAGCCATCGTGCAGATGTCGGAAATGGCGAAGAACTTCATGAGCCCCTTGAAGCCGCAGAACCCCCACGCGTGCCGACGCGTTGGGCACTGAAGGCGGACTCCAACTGCTCACCTCCCGAGCTTCGGACAGCAATTACTCGTCCAATCTCTGAACAAATGCCGAGCGGAGAAAATGCGCTAGGCCCGTCCGTCAGACCTGGGTTGACCCTGTTTCAACCCGTCTTACTACACCAACCTCTGAATCCCCTCTCTGCCCATCGGCTGATAGAGACTCCATGCGCTCTAGGCAGTGTGAAGTGGCTAGCTGGTCAGCACAACGGCATCCCGTTTGGTCAGCCTTACGTGCCGCAGAAATGCAGCGTCAATGTTTGACCGACCTTTGGCAGAGAATAATGGTGGCTTGCTCGTCTTACACATCCCAAGGGCCACGGCATGCTCCGGGAAATCGTCACTTCAAATTGGACGACGACAGCAGCCACTGGCTACTTTGTCTCCGTTCGTCCTCCTCTAATAAGCCCCGAGCATCGGCGCCGTCTGTATGTTCTAGACAGCCACACTTGTCTTGGTACGAAAGACGGATGTCTCCCGCGCGCACGGTCGCCGCACCCGAGCTTCACAGAGTTGGCGGAGGTGGACCGCAAGAGATTGTCTCAGTGAATTTTCCGTCATGGCCTGCACCCATCCGAGTTCTAGAGAAGGGTCGAAATGAGGCCAAGAAGGAATAGCGACGCGTTCGCGCAAGCCTCGACCGTCACTCTACCCGCCGACTAGGCCGCAAACGCATTTAGACTCTGCTTGCTCGGTCTGTCTGGGGGATCGTCGCCAGGGCAGTCAATGACAGGCCGATCAGTGCTCGATTCCGGTGACGTTGCAAGATTGAGCTCGTCTTACAGGCGGGCGGGCGGCGGCCGGCCAAGTGTCTATCGGAATGTCGAGTGCTTGCTTACTGGGTGTGTCGCCGGCCATCCCATAACTGTGTTTTCCGACGACAGACCTATTCTGCCTTACCTGAGTCTCCCTCGAGCGCAAGGTCAGTAGGCTGAGACATACGTCGGTCGTGAGTGGTTACAAGCACATCAGAGACACGAGATGGAAGCAAAGACGCACTCATTCACCTTTCCGGGCTCGAATCGCGGCCAATGTTCGTCATTGACCTGCCTCGGTGGACCGTTCGGAGTTTTTCTCCCTCGTACAAGGTCTTACTTCGCAGCATCCTTCCTAGAGCTGCTGGATCTCACTGGCCGAAATGCTGGACCAAGCATGCAGAGGTGTCAGTGATCATCCTTTCCTGCAACTTTACGAAGTCGGAGGCTGCAGCAACTTGGCTGGTGGCAGTTGGGGCAACCCCATCTCGTCGGTCCCATGTCCTGGAAAGGCAGTCCCTGGTGGCCTGCGCGGTGCGACGCTAGAGGCCCAGCCGCGGCGGCTTGTAGTTGACGGCGGGCCAATTCTAATGAGTCGGTTCATGTGTGTTAGTGGCAACCAAGGAAGTGCTGATTACCTACGCTAGGGATGTTGGGGCAACTGGGTCGTTTCCCGGCTTTCTTTACTCGAGTTGACCAGGCACGCGTAGAAGCTGTCACCCGCGCCACCATCCCGAACCAGCAGCCGATATCGAATATGAACCCCTTCGCGCCCTAGTCACGGGCGGCGTCCCGGCTGGCTGTCCGTTTACCTGCTCCCGCTTCTTGTCTCTCCGTTTTCGTCTCGTGCCTCGATCAGTAATGAAATGTGATGAGTTTGAGGTGCACTTCTTAATCGGCCTGACAGCAATAATACTTTCTCTGGTGCTGTCCCGCGGACACGACAGCATCGCGTCTGGACCCCAATGGCGACGCGGACAGGGATACGTGGGACAGACGGGGACGGGGATCGTGGCTCGGGAAGACGCAGCAACGTGAAACTTCTCGATATTGTACTATTCTCTCTCGCAACCTTCTCGAGTACAGTTCATGCAGTGGGCGACAATGGTGCGTTACACCAGTCTACATCGCTTGGCACGATTGCGGTAAACTGACAAACGCACAGCACAGCGCGTTGCGCATTTCCCAAGACAAGCTGTGGGTTCCAACCGCACAACGTCAACCAGCTTAATAAGTCCGTCGTCGCAGGACGCATTTCCATCTACTCAAGTCGAAACGGCTTCAACCATTCAATCGGCAAGCGGGAGTCTTCTGTCTGCAACAAACGGACAGCCGTCAGCATCTCGGTTTCCAGGAGGAACCCTCTCGGTGACAGGAGAGCCAGGAACAGGCCGCACAGCGTCCCCAACATCAGACGAAGGCAGTTCGCCGATCTCGAAAAATTCGATCTCATCGAACGTGGCCAATGGGACGTCCCAGGCCCCAGGCGTCGTCAGCACGTCAGAGGTGTCAAACTCGACGTTTACCAGAAACCCTTCAAGTACAGGGTCATCCGCTCTTTCGGACGCCTCCTCCCGCAGCCTGAGTACTTTACCCATAGCGAACACATCAACGATAAGTCCAGGTAGAAGCGCAGTTTCGGCTTCCATAACAACATCGATATCGAGTCTCGAACCATCGTTTCCCATCAGCAATGCCACAATATCCGCCTCGCCAAGCGGCAACTCCAGCAGACCCATAACGAACCTTACCGACACGGTCGAACGTGATTCAGTCGTGGTCTTGACGGTTCCCACGGGTTACGAACCAGATGTGTCATGCATATCGACCAGCGACGGTGCCGTACCGACAACCTGGTCCATCGTCTACACATCTACGACGACTTTCTATGGGGATCCGGCAGACTACACGCCCCCTCAGCCCGAAATAACTGTCCCAATCACATGTTCTCCTTTGGGTATAGGAGAAGGAAAGTCGAAATCGCGCATAGCGTCTGGGTTCGCGACATGCACGGATACGAGTGGATGCACCGCCGCCGCTCTGCCGTCCATGGTGCTCACCATGTCCACGCCAAAGATAGGACCTATTACGACCTATACGTTCGTCACGATGGCCAAGAACCCGTCAGTCGTTTATTCTCCCATCAGCACACCACGGTACGGCCATGATCCTGAGACGAAGGCCCCGCAAGATAAGCACACAGCTGTGAAACCTGCCGACAAGCCCACCGACAATCCCCGGCAGCCGGCCCCCAACGACCAGAAGCCACCCGACTCGCCGACAAACCAGCCTCAGCCGGCCCCAGACAACCAGAGGCCACCCGGATCGCCGACGAGCCAGCCTCAGTCGCCCCCAAACGACCAGAGGCCACCCGCATCAACGGTTCCGCCACGTGAGAGTGTAAAGGAACCACCAAAAGCCACTTACACAATCACCGTTGAGCCCACCAAGGTTATCGTCAACGACCAAACGTTCACAGTGACGAACCCCTCCGAGACACGTCAAGTCAGCGTGAGCGGTGCGGAATTCACAATCAACCCAAGCGAGGTAGTTGGCGGAGGTACCATTGTTGACCGGCCGGGCAATGTTGGCCGAAGCACCATGGCGCCTTCGAACACCGTCGTGGGAGATGTACCAGTCGTCGTTGCACCAGATAGTTTACAAAATGTTGTAGTGGTCGGAGGGACGACGTTCGAGCTGCAAGCTACACCAGTCGTGGCCGTGGTTCAGGGGCAGACCATTACGATTCAGTCTTCCGGTATCGTGTTCCCGAAACAAACGGTGTCGATCAATCGATCGTCCCCGACACAGACAGAGATTGTCGTTGCGGGCGGCGAGATGGTGACCGCTATTGGTCCCGGTGTCGTGATCGTTCACTCGACGACGTTCACGTATGGTCTGGCGTCGTCCACCATTACAGAGATTGTCGACGATGATACCATTCTGATAGGGCCATCAGGGGTCATTGTGCGCAACGTGACCATGGGCGGCCCAAACGCGAAGGCCTCGGACACGGCCTTTGAGATCGTGGGTGGTGCGACGATCACACAGGTAGGGGCTTCGGTGGTCGTCGTGGAAGGCAAGACGTTCACGGTCGGTCCAGGGAGAGGGACTACGACGACCGTCATTGGTGGTGAGACCATCACAATTGGCCCATCCGGGGTAGCTGTGTCAACTCTCAGCTTGCGCTACCCCTTTGGGCCGACTGTTGTCACCACAATCAGCGCGCCGACAGCCACAGCGCCGTCGGCGCCGGCACCTTCGGAGACGAAAACGAATGGCGGCCCAGGTGTGAGGCACGCGAAGAGGACAGCAGGTCCCCGACTTGAATTTTGCATAGCGATCGGCGTCTGGGTTCTGGGTCGGTTGGTTTGAGACATAAGGTTCATGACAGATGTACCAAGGCGTTTACGGTTCTTCTCTCTTGGTGAAGCAAGGCCTGGTGTAGCAAGGCTGGAAGGAGAAAGGCCACGGATTTGGGAAAATGGGGCTCTGCGCAGACGCGGGAAGGGCTGAAGTGTTGCCATCGACGGGCTCATGATGGCACGACGCCCAGGGACGGCTAAGGCGGGACGTGGGTGGGGGAGGGGGGATGCCTTCAATGCGACCTCACCGACGTCCTTCGAACTGTGTTATTATACACCTCTAATCATAGTTAATGCTGCTGCTAATGGGCCTCGAGCGGGGATGAGGTCGCAGCAGCAAGGCACAGCCTCTCACGGCCGCACGTCGTCATCGGCCTTGCGGCTGTCAAAGGCCATATCATGAAGGGTGCCGAACGATAAATATGACGCGCATCATATCATCTGAATTCCAGCGACGTGCGAGAGAACCATTCTAGAAAAAGGGGCACCGCCATCATGATTGGGTTGCGCAGTTTGGGGCTGATCTGGAAGAGTTCAGATGATACAGGTGCACGAGTCGGCGGCCATGTTGCGTGGATACTGTGCGAAACTCACAAGCGAGGTGCAGGCCCCATTCGATTTGCACATGGCTATACGTCACGGATAATCCCTGTCTCGGCGACAACGACGACTGAGTTCCCCTGACGGCTCGCTCCAACCATGCCCTGGCTTCGGCAACGACATCTTTGCCGCAGCACACCAAAACCTCTCAGCCTTGGGAGGAGCCGTGGAGCCGATGGGGGCCGGCTGGGGGGAGAGAAAGCGTGACGGACGGGATAGGCGATGTTCGATGTTCGATGTTGAACCGGGGGCCATACACATACCACCCGCGTGCGCGCCTCTCTTCGTTTTGAACAAGCCGTCCCGCAGTCCGTCAAGGTCCGAAACCAACCCACAGCCAGCCCGCCCAGAGCTGTCAAGCTAGCGATGGGCTGAAAACAACATGCGGCCTTTTCTCAATCTATTCACTACCTGATTTAAACGCCAAGAGGTCGGGGAAAAGGGACGAATGGGGTCTCCCGGCAGATAGATTGGTTTCTTCACTTCAGCCCTTCCTGCTACGGTAACAGACCTGGAGGCGACGTTGAGGCGTGGTTTCTATTTTGCGATTCTTGTTCCCTGTTTTCTCTCCCGCTTTGCCAAGGGGGGAAGGGGGGAAGGGGGGAAGGGGGGAAGTTCTAGAATAACTTGGAGGTCTCATGGATGTAAAGCTGGTTGATAGAGGCAGAGTTGAATCTTACAAAGAAACCATTTGCGAGACCGATCACGCGTAGGTCAAAAAAGGTCGGGATGAGACGGAATGGAATGGGACTATGTCGGCGGTTCTGGTCAACTCTAATACCAAGAACCGCTAGCTTCCGCAGTGGAAGTGTTAAGACAACGTCTTGTGCCAGACAGGAGGGTGCGGGACTGGATGGACGTTACGCAGACTAGACCGGGATGACATGTTGGTGAGATATTGTGCCCCCTTCGGAGTCGGGTACCGGCTCCGCGAGGGCTGGGCTCCGGAGGATGGCTCCTCCGATCCAGCTGGTGTGTGGCTTTAGTGAGTGGTCGCTGTTCGAATCGCTCGTTTGATGGTGGACCGGAGTGTGTAATTTGTCAAGACATCAACTTCAAGGTCGCTCATCAGCCCTACGCCGCTCCCTCGTATTGAAAGACAGACGTCACGGGTCTCACCGGCTGGAATTTGGGTTCCCGAACTCGGAGGGTTTGTAAGACGGAGGAATGTGAAGGACATGTGCGTTGTCTCGGGAGCTTATCTGACGGTTGCTTTGCAAGACATTGTGCCCATGCAAGATATGACGGAGACGACAAAGTCCCCGATTCATGACGAGGAGTAAGAGAGACGTTGAGCGCTCTTGTTGGGATTGTTTTGTGATGACAGTGGACTCAGTCTGACGGGCTGGGGAAGTAGTCGAATGCGTACGCCGAGAGTGCCCAGACGGAACGGCCCCCGGCGCGGGACGCTTGCGGTCATGAGCTGGGTCCGGCGCTGATCCGGGCGGCATCTGCAGAATTCTCTATTTGGACCGTTGCGTGGGGAGTTTTGGCGGCCGTACAGGAGCTGTGATATCAGCTTTGGAGACTACTTTGTTATCCTGAACCACCCCGCAAGTCACTAAACACGTATCAGAAGCTATCGCACTCTATATGACATTGCTAGAACTCAGGCGCACATGGTAGTCAAGCTACAGGCTGTCGGGTCAGCAGAAGGACACATAGAAGGGGTTAATGTTGCTCAAGACGTCTTCGGCTTCCATAGGCACTGCCTGAAAGTCGGTACTCGGCACCACGAGCTCAATCTATCACGTCGAGTTCAACTTTTACAACTTTTACAATCTCACAACAATTGCGAGCAAATGGTCAGTGAGTTCATTATTCATTACGGGAAATGGTGGGTCTTCTTTGGAAGCAATATCAAAAGTCTCGGATGCCTCATCCGAGCCTTCATTGCTATGGTTCATAACCCGACAATATCTAAACCTCCTTGTCAAGAACTGGTATCCCACTGACTGCAGTGACAGTTTCTCATAGAGGATTGGGGTCTAGTTTCATAACAAGTACTCTTTTTGATGATCAGATATATTCAGTTGTTCGTATGCCCTATCACGATTCCCCGAATACCCGTTGCAACCAGGGGCCGCATGAATCCATGTACGAGCGTAGAACAACACCCAACTTACACATACACCGTTGCATCCCTTGGATTGACCTCCTTCTACTCTAACACTTAATTACTCCCACTCCTTCATCAAAGTGTTGCTCTCAATCTCCCTATCAAACCCCACAATATGCGTCGAGTGGCACCATGGCTTGATCTCCTCCTCCTTCCGAATCGTCCCTGCAAAGAACGAACACCACCCCAGTCTAGGGTGAGCCTCGTTGATCTCCCTCCTCGTCTTGTAGTGAACCATCTTGTCGAAGTCCTTCACGTTGGGATGCCTGCCAACGTTGTCGTACAGCGTGGCCAGCTGGATCAGCTGCCCCAAATACGTAATCGTCCCGTCGACGCCCATGTCCTGGTGGCGGATGATGGCTTCGCAGACCGCCTCGGCCTGGTCTGTGGCGGCGCCATGGTCCTTGAGGGTGTTGAGGGCTTTGATGCCGCCGTAGATGTCGAAGGACATGCGGGTCGCGGTCAGGTTCTCCTCCGCCATGCCGATGTCGTGGAGGAGACAGGTCAAGGCCCAGGTCACGGGGGAGAAGGAAGATGCCTTCTCTGGGAATTGCTGTTTGGTGATCGCCATGCCCGGAGAGGGTTGTTAGCACGTGGTGATATGTCTATCAGAGAACGTACCATAGTAGAAGACTCTCATTGAGTGGTTGAAGGTTTGCGCATGGAGGCGGTCTTTGGCATAACCCAGAGTCTCCGCGACAACTGGGTCATCGGACGGAAACTGGATATCTTGAACCGAAATGGGTGCCGGTTCGTGGAGGAATGGTTTGTCGCCAAAGATCTTTCCAGCATCGACTGGCATGGCGGCCCACCCGTTGGCTTCGATATCGTGTTGGCACATGTTGTTGTTTGTAATGATGGCTGAACGACCCACGAGCTTAGGAGAGTCTTCAGAATGTATCAATGCCAGAATGGCGTTTAGTTCAACCTGGAAAAGCCTCTAACTTATGTACTCGGTGCTGACACGACACATCACTTCAAACGTGTACCAAAGCACACATGATCGCAAAATGACAAAGCCCGGCTGCTTGCTCATAGCTCGGGTCAGAACACAACCTCCTCTGCTCGCCCGGGGCCGAAGGGCGCGCCGGCGGCCGGCTGGGTCTCGGAGTCTCTTGCCTGGTTTCCCCCCTTATTACGGAGTTGACCCGCCTGAAGGGCGCGATCGACATTCACTGTCAATATCCATTCGCGGAAGCTCATGGCTTCAACTTAATTTTTTGAAGACATTACGTTAGAAAAACCTGACGTTAGTCAGCCCGGAATTCGGGTCAAATGGGCGTGCCGAATGATTTCAAGTTGAGTGTGACGTCCCTGTCATGGACATCATGATGCAGAATATGGCGGGTCAAGACCATTTCATCTTGAGTCTTCTCGGTTCCAGCGGTTAGTTGAACTGTACGACACCAAGCTTCGGTGACCATATTGCAGGTCCAATAGCATCGTCTGATTTACCGCGATTACGATATTCACTCAGAAAGCCAAAGTAGATTAGTTGAGGTCCATCCCAAGCGTACCTCGGCATTCTCTGTCTCTGCCGCATTTCACTTCTGAGAAGAAATTCGTTCTTCATGGTGTATTGGGAGTCGCGCGTTCTTGTTTCCCCTCGTCAAATATCTCCTTTCTGCTATGGCAAAATTGAGACCAATTTGCATGCGTGATATTGTCAACCGCTTTACAAACTTCGAATTGGTAAAAAAATACGAGACACTGAGTTGTTTCTGGCCTAGTCAATATATGATCCTCTCAGATTGCTACTACAGGAGTGATCCATAGCGGCAGAAATTCCCAAGCTGTATAAGCTTTCGCCGCAGTACAACTCCAGTCTGATTGTAGTCAAATACGGCCAACTGCCCAATAACTGTCAGCCAGGGAAACCAGAAAGCCAGGATCAAGACAATATTTGCCTGTTCAATAATTATACCAGTTCGATGATGCTCGACCGTGAACAAGACGGTTGCCTCCTGAGACCTGGGTCGTTATTGACGTCGTTCTACATTGACCCACAAACCTCATAGTGTCGGCGAGGACGGGCTGAGCTCAACATACAAGTCAAACTGCACACCTTTCCTGCATGGTGCTTACTCGCATGATCTATACAACAACCCAACGGGAACAGACCTGTGTACGGGCTAAAAGTATCTATTCTCTAGGGTTCTCATGAACAATGCTCTATAAGCAAGAACCCGGTTGGTATGGGCACGAGCAGACGAATCTTACTCGAAAAGAAGTAGATTAACGGCATTACCTGCGACGATGCAGAAGAAAAGGACCAATTGCTTCACACAAACACGAAAATCAGACAAGCGCAACTCAAACCAGCAGACCATCCTCACATTCTCCCTTTCCCCTTGCCCCTGGTCTCCAGCACGGGAAACTCCTCCTGCTGGAAATGATCCTGCTCAATCCCTAGACCCGAGTGGCCGCTGGCGGTAGCTTCCTGGAGGCTGAGCCTCAAAGCTAACTCGAGGTCGTCTTCCTGCGGCGGAGGCTTGCTGGAGCCAGCCTCACCGGCGCTCAAAGCCAGGGCAAGCTCCAGGTCGTCGTCCCTGGGCGTGGCCCTGCTGGAGGACCCCGCTGCGTTGTACCCGGCGTTGGGTGTGTAGCTTGCTGACGGGGATGTAGATGGTGACCGCTTCGTTTTCTTGGTCGCCTTGGGCTTGTACTTGACTGCAAACTCGTAGTCGCCTGAGCTGTTGCCTCGCGGCGACGGTCCAGTGTCGTTGACAGCCTCCATGAGCGAGAGCCTAAGCGCCTGTTGAATTTGCACCTCGTACTCATCCTCCTCGGGCACCGGAGGGGGCGGTGTGAACCCGGTCACACTTGGCTCCGGCGTGATCGTATCGACTGTACTCTCGCTGAACGAAGACGCTGTGTCCAATCCGCCGTCAGCTGCCGAGCCAGTGTCGCTGGCACTAGTACGCCGCTGCTCCTCCAATAACAAGGTCTCCTGGGAGATCATCTCAGCGTACTGGATGGCCTCCTCTTCGGTTAAGTCGCCGAATGCACCAACGCCGAAGCGGTTGCGCAGCCAGGCATCTTCACGAGCCTTCTGCTCCTGCTCTCGGCGGAGTTCCGCGGTTTCGGCGGCGATATAACCAGACACGTTGCCACCCTGGCGACGCGTCGCAAGGCGGCCGTGAATATCAGAGTGACGAAGACGGCGCTTGCGGCCGGGAGGTTGAGTGGTGGCGCTGTAAGCCCAGTAGCGCAAGAAGGCGCCAAAGGAGGTGATGCCGCGCAGGACTGTCGGGTCAGGGTCGAGGTAGATGGCCCGCGCAGCCGGATACGTGTCGCCACTGAGTGAAGGGTTCATCGTCAACATGTGACGAGGGACGCGACCCGCGGAGCGGGCATTGAGGGTGCGAAGGGGCTCCAGAGTTGAAGCAAGAGGGTCCCATGCCTGGACCAGGCCGTCGGTTCCTCCGTGGACGAGGTAGAGAGCCGTTAAGGCCAGGCAGGAGATTTCAGGAGAGTCTGTTTGGATCACTCGAAGGGGCTTGACCTCCGTGTTTTGTTGGTCGCGCATGTTCCAAACCACCACGCCGCCTTTCTTGGTTCCGATGGCAATCATGCGGGTCCTACGGCCTGGGATCTCTGCGACACTCTCCGCGGTTTGCGGTGTCATGGTGGGAGTGGCAGCCGATTTGTGCCCGAAGTGGAGAGGGTCCTCGTAGAGAGTCACAAGAGCGTGAGAGGAGAGATCTACGGCAGATGCTGTGATCTCTGACACCTTGTGGCTTCCCAGTGCCAGACTGGAAACAGACCATTCGTCAAGCGAGCTAAGCGTGGCCGGGGGAGTCAGCAAACCCGAAGAAGCTGGCGTCACATCGCCCTTGCTCGGTTGCTGTGCCGCCATAGGCTTGACATCGACGATGCCATCTCCGAACAAAGACGTCGAGACCGGTGTTGACTCTTCCATAGGAGTGGAAGCATTCTCGGCACTAGGCCGGGGCGTTTGGGCGACAGATCTAACAAAACGTGTGACTTCGGGCTCCGATTCGTCAAGGCCACAGCGGATGGACACGATGATTTCTCCTGCGCCGCCGCCATCGTCGTTGGCAAAATCGACTTCGAGTCTTCTGCGCATGTCCCAGCCGTCGCAGACTCTTCGGAAATGGTTAGGCTTGTACCGCATGAACTTGTCAATCTCGCGAGCCTCTGCGACGAGCTGCTCCCTGCTCAACTTCATCGCGTCCGCAGGAGATCGAGGGGAGTAAGCGCCCTTGAGCGCATGCTTGTCCAGATCATCGGCCTGTGCCTGGCGGCGGGTCTGGTCGATGAGCTGCCAGTAGACCGACCTGCCAGCGTACCAAGCGTTCTTGGTAATGTCCTCGCCCTTGGCTCGTTCAACGGGTGACTTGGGAACATCGACAAGGTAGTAAACCTCGCCCAGGGCATTGAGAGCGACAGCCCAGACTCGCTGAGCGGTCTTGCGCTTTTGAGTGTACTGCTCGTCGACCTTGAGAGACACAATTGGGACGCCTGGGCTGAGAACCCAACGTGCCGTCATCTCGCCGTTGGCATGTCGGGGACCGCTACCGTCTCCTCCAAGGGCATAGCATGTAACAACTCCAAGCGTTGAACCCGTAATGATACCCACGACCGAGTGCGTCATGTTGGGTATCGCTGTAGACTTGGCGATCCAGACGCTAGAAAGTGCCTCTGACAATTCCGGGATTTTGGGAATATCAGGATACGTGTCGATCACCCCGGTATCAGTGCCGAGATATCGGCCACGCAGCTCGTTTGCGGGACGGAAATAGGCGCGTCCACCGGGAAAGCCTTCGCCAGAGATCAGCCCATAAGGCTGACTGACGTCCATGACATTGGGGCATGCAGCAGGTCCGTCTCCAACGCCGTATGGCTCCAATTGTGGCATAACCTCATCCAGCTGAAGCGTGGAGAACGGGTCGTTGAAGCCCCATTTCTCGACTCTCCCGTTTGTAGGATCGCTGATTGTCCCAACACCCAGGTCTGCCGCTCCGTGAATCGCCTGAGGAGGCTTCTTTGCAGCGGCGGTAGAGAACACGGCGTGTACGTGCGTAACAACCCAAGGCAGCTTCGAGTTGTAGGTCAGAACGGCACTTGATTTTTTGCTGCTGCGAGTGGAAGACCCAATGCCGGAGCCCGGCTTGCCCCTCACAAGGCCCCGAAGCAGACGTGTGCGCAGCAAGTACTCGCTCCTCCATGTCGCCAACGGCGTCAGGCGCGCGAAATAACGCGCCTCAGATCGCACAAACTCGGAGACGTCTTCTTCAAGGGGACCAGAGCGAGGCTTCCCGGAGTTATCATCCAGCATGACATGGCCCGGGAAGAAGCGCAAAAAGGCCATTCGCCACGCGTGGGGAGTGGTGACGAGGGCGTAGAAGCGCTTCGAGACGAGCGCCACCGCCGAGTGGGAATCGGGATGCAAGTGGGATAGGACATGGGTCAAGATCTCTGCGCAGTCTATTAGCCCTCATGTGTACAAATTTCCGAGGGCGAGCATGGCATACCGTTAGGAAAGTCTGTAAGCTGAACGCCATCAGGTCGTGGATCGGATCGCTTAATGACTTTGAAGCCCAATGGCTGTCGGGGCGAAGGCGTGAGGGCATTCTCGTAATCAATCACTCTTTGACCGGCGATGGAGGGATAGGCCTCGGAAGTAAAGCTGGCGCTGTCGAAGCTCAGCCCGCGAAGCTTCTCGTCGAGCTGGGCAGCGCTGATGGCGTCGAGTGAGTCACGGCGGCCACCTTCCGGGACAGAGCGCGGGGAGGCGCCGCCGGAGTCGGCGCGACGGAGCTGATCGACGCCGGTCGGCTGTTGGCAGTGACGAAAGCCATGCTGACTTGAGGAGGA